GCCCCCCCCCCCCCCCTCCCTCAGGTTGTCAGAGCTCCAGGGCTGTCGTCCACCTGCCCGGCAGCGACTGTCGCTAGGGATCCTCGGAGGAGCTTCCACCCCAAAACCCAGACGGACGAGACCGACTGACACCGGTCTTGACTCTCTCACCACAACTACAAGTCCCAATGCGTCACCGCGCACCTTTGCGCTATTCGCACCGCATCACTTTCTTTTCCATATAGGTCCCTACCGGAGTTCTAGGCCTTTACGGAGTATACTTTTTCTAGGTCCCGCATTTGTCGCATCGCAGCTTTCCGTCGGTCTGTCTTGGCTGCCACTACCACTGCCGGTATTCTCGAGTAATTTCTAGTCATCCGGGCTTCGTGATCCTGTCTTGTCGCAGTCGACCTGCGCGAGTATCTCTCCGCCTTGGCGCAAGATTCTATTCTTTCTTGAGGAAGTGCCATAGACTTAGTTGCATTGCCGGGTCTGTTCTGCTCAAGGGCAACCAACAACAACCACAACAACCACAACAACCGCCACCACCAGTTCCACAAACCACCCACCGAGAACAGCAGCTGATCGATCACTCAGCCCGCTCAACATGGGGTTCGTCAACCACCACACCTCTGGCCCGGACGCTCAGAACCGGCCGCAAACCCCTCTGTGCCCGTCGCTGACCTCCTGTACAGTGTCCCCAAGTTCTTCAGATGGCTCTCGGAGCGGTATCCTGCCATTTCCCAGCTCATCGCCGAGAACCGCATACCCGAGTTCGACAACCTCTACCTCGACATGAACGGCATCATCCACAACTGTACCCACAAGGACAGCGACGATGCCACCTTCAGGCTCAGCGAGAAGGAGATGTTTATCCGCATCTTCAACTACATCGAGCACCTGTTCGCCACCATCAAGCCCAAGAAGCTGTTCTTCATGGCCATCGATGGTGTCGCCCCCCGCGCCAAGATGAACCAGCAGCGCGCCCGTCGTTTCCGTACCGCCCTGGAAGTCGAGAAAGCCCGTGACAAGGCGATCCGTGAGGGCGTGGAAATGCCCAAGGAGGACGCCTTCGACAGCAACTGCATCACCCCCGGCACCGAGTTCATGGCCAAGCTGACCCAGCACCTCAAATACTTCATTGCCAAGAAGATCTCCGAGGACACGGATTGGCAGGGCTGCGATGTCGTCCTGTCGGGCCACGAGGTGCCCGGCGAGGGAGAGCACAAGATCATGGAGTACATTCGTAATGCCAAGGCCCAGCCCGATTACGACCCCAACGTGCGCCATTGTTTGTACGGCCTCGATGCCGACCTGATTATGTTGGGTCTGCTCAGCCACGACCCCCATTTCTGCCTTCTAAGAGAAGAGGTCACCTTTGGCCGTGCTTCAAAGGTGAAGTCCAAGGAGTTGGAGCATCAGAATTTCTATTTGATGCATCTCTGCATTGTCCGCGAATACTTGGAGTTGGAGTTTCAGGATTTGAAAAAGGAAGGCGCTTTGCCTTTTCCGTTCGACTTGGAAAGAGTTATTGATGATTTCATCCTCATGGCCTTTTTTGTAGGAAATGATTTCCTTCCCAATCTTCCCTACTTGCACATCAACGAAGGTGCTCTAGCCACCATGTTCCGCATTTACAAGGAGGTCCTCCCCAAGGCCGAAGGCTATATCAACGAGGGCGGTGTTATCAACCTGCCCAGACTTGCCTTGCTCCTCGAGGAGCTGTCCAAGGAGGAGAACCGCCACTTTGAGCACGAAAATGCCGATCAAAAGTGGCTGAGGAGTAAACAGGCCACCGATGCCGGCAAGGAGGTAATCGCCAAGGCCAAGGGCAAGGTCACCATGACATCTGGACAGAAAGAGATCTGGAAGACGATCAGGAAGTACGTCCAGAAGCGACCTGGCGGAGTCTTGGATCTTGGTACCGAGCTTGTCGCTGCAGATCGCAAATTCGTCCAAGATGTTGCCGATAGTCTTCGCATCGAGTGGCGCACTTCCGAGGATGACGACGGACGAAGGCATCTCATTCTCTCCATGCCTGCTAAGGCCAGCAATGGGGACAACGAGGATGACGAAGAGGAGGAGGAAGGCCATCTCGCATTGCTTCGCGTGATGAAGCGGTACGATAATGCCCAAGTCGTCGATGTCTCCCCTGAAGAGGCTCAGGCCTCCATGCAGGTCAAGTACAAGGAGAAGTTCATCGAGTGGAAGGAGAAGTACTACGAGGGAAAACTAGAGTCGACCCCAGCAACCAAGGATGCCGACCTTCGCAGCCTTTGCGAGAACTATGTCCAAGGATTGCAATGGGTGTTGTACTACTACTATCGAGGAGTCGCGTCGTGGCCGTGGTTCTATGCATCGCACTACTCCCCGATGATCTCAGGTGAGGCAACTTGTCAACACGAAGGCCCTTATGCTTCCAATACTGACTGTCTGCAGATGTCCTCAAGGGCTTCAATGCTGACCTGAATTTTAAATTGGGACAGCCTTTCCGACCCTTCCAGCAGCTGATGGGAGTGCTGCCAGACCGAAGCAAGAAGATTGTTCCCACTGTATATCACGATCTCATGACGAATCCAAGCTCGCCTATCATTGATTTCTACCCGAGAGATTTCGAGCTAGATATGAATGGCAAGAAAATGGATTGGGAAGCTGTGGTGAAGATTCCCTTCATAGATGAGAAACGACTGCTCGCTGCCATGGGACCCAAGGATGAGCTACTGTCGGATGATGAGAAGGCCAGGAACGACTTCGGCGTGTCTCTCAAGTTCACATATGACCGAGACACGGATTTTGTTTACCCATCATCGATGGAAGGCGAGTTTCCGGAGATCCCTCACTGCAAATGTATCCAGAACATCTACGACCTGCCGGTGGCAGATGGTCTCGAGCTTTATCGAGGTCTGATGCCGGGCACAAAGCTCAACGTCGAGGCCTTGGCAGGATTCCCCAGTCTTGCAACCTTGCCGTACAATGCGAATCTTGGCTTCCACGGGGTCAGGGTCTTCCAGCAGGAAAGCCGGAACGAGAGTATGGTCGTCACTTTGTCCGATGTCGAAGTGCGCAGCCGCGTAGAGTCCGCCAAGGTCAAGCTGGGCCAGAGATGTTTCGTTGGCTACCCGTTCCTGCAGGAAGCCAAGGTTGTCCGGGTGTCGGATGAGCTCTTCGATTTCACCTTGGCAGAAGACGGTTCTGGCCAAGTTGTCATGCGCGAACACACTGGCAAGGAGATTGACCAATGGAGCGGAAAGGCCGACCGCATTGAGTCGTTCTACAGCTCTCGCCTTGGAATCATCATTGGCAGCGTCGAATCAATGGTGCACGTCCAAATGTTGAAGGGTCTCATCAAGACCGATGAAGGTGCGCTGGTGAAGGAGTATGGCGAGGTTCCTGGCGCCGAGACCGACTACCCTGCTCAGATCGTCGTAGACGAGGTGATCAGCGAAGATGAGCGATTTATTGAGCAGGCTGCTCTTCCCATCGAAGAGGAGTTCCCTGTCGGATCGCGCGCCTTTCTCTTGATGGGGGTTAAGCGCGATGCCGTGAAGAATCATGATGGACAACTCCTTCACCGGCCTGTCTATGGTCGCCCTGTCGAGGTCGCCGGTTATAATACCAACCGGGCCGTCGTCAAAACGTCGCTGTACTTCATGAAAACAAATTTCGAAGAGGGAGAGGATGTCGCAACATTCTCCAAGAAACTCGACACGTTCATCAGGAGTGAGCCTTACCTCGCCAAATCACTGATTCAGCAGTATGAAAAGGAGAACAGGTATTGGCCATCGTACGCCCTCGCTAAGGAGCTTGATCTTCACCCACTCGTCCTCAGCAAGATCACCGCTTCTTTCTTTGTGCACACCATGGGAGGTAGCATGAGGGTCAACCTTGGACTGGACTTGAAGTTTGAAGGAAAGAAGTTGAAGGTTCTTGGCTACTCTCGCAAGTCCAGCACTGGTTGGGAATTCAGTATGGCAGCTATTCAGCTCATTGCCAATTACATGGCCCAGTTCCCCGACTTCTTTGCTGCGATTAAGAAAAATCCTCAAGGAAGTGAGCTATCTGAGACAGATCTGTTCCCTGACCCCGAGTATGCTACAAAGAGGATCAAGGAGATTGGTGCGTGGATCAAGGATCAAGACAAGAGCAAGTTTGAGCGAGTGCCCTTGGATGCCGAGCAGCTTGATTCGGTCATTGTCGGACGCCTGGAACAGAAAGTGGATGAGTTGATGCAGAATGCACCAGCACCTATTGTGCGGAAGCTCAATGATATACCCAGAAATGCCTTGCTGCGACCGCAGGATGCGGAGCAGCGTCTCGGCGGGCAGAAGTTCAGCCTTGGAGACAGGGTTATGTCGGCTACAGACTCGGGTAAAGTTCCCATTGGTCTTAAGGGAACAGTGGTGGGAATCAGCAATATCGGAAGCAAGCCAATGCTTGATGTTGTCTTTGATTCGAACTTCATGAGCGGCACAACGCTCGACTCACGATGCTCTCCCTTCCGAGGTGCTACGGTACCCGCCAACTCTGTGCTTAACATGACAAATCAACAGTTGGTGGTCTTGAATGCTCAGCAACAGGCCAAGTTGAATGCAGCTCCTAAGCAGACTGCAGCCCCGGGAACCTATGGCGGCGCCAACGGAAGGACGTACCGTGATGCGCCTGCCCCAGCGATGCTGCAAGGAAGTTATCGTGGTGCCCTCAATGGTGCTGGCCAAGCACGGAGAGGTAGAGGAGGCTCAAATCAACCGAACGGCAATGGTGTTCCCAATCTGCAGTCAGCGAACTTGGTTTACCGCCCAGCACCGAACGGTAGAGGTGGTCAAGGCTCGCAGCACCCTGGTGCACCCCGGGGACGGGGACGTGGTGGACAGATTGCCAACAACCCAGCACATGCTCCCGCTAATGTACACGCCAACAATGACCCTGCTCTCCAGGGAGGCTATAACGCTGTACCGCCACCTTCCAACTTGGATACCCGTGGCAGGGGAAGAGGTCGCGGACGAGGACGTGGACAGCGCGGGGGGAGAGGCGGGTCTTTCAGAGGCAGAGGCGGCTCAGCTCAGGAACAAACAGCGTAGAGGCAGTTTTGGCCTGGGATTCCGATGGTAGTTCCTGTGATGGATTTCCCATTACCATCATTATCGCCAGTACCATGGTGGACAGCGTGGCAATTTGGTCATGATGTTCCTAGCGCAACTTCCGTAACGCGTTTCCCATTTCCATGGGACACGACTCTAGAGCGTACTTGCCCATCGACTCTGGCAGGCATTCGTCGCCAGGGCCAGCCTGCAATAGAACCGGGTTCTCGTATGAGTCCCGAATCCCGAACTGCGATCTTTGCTTGGCTTGAGGGTACAAGGAGTCCTTGTTCGAGCGATCCCGGTGCAGACAGTCCTCGATCAGTCAGGTCCACAGCGTTTAGCGATAACAATCAAGTTGCATTGTCAGCTGGCTCGGAAAAACACACAGCGGAAAGCTGAAATTCATGTGTATAAAGTAGATAATAGCCAAACAAGTCCTTGGTTGGAATCCACCAAGTAGCGAAATTTGATATCATGTATCAACTTCAACGGGCAGCGAAAGCCCAGGGTCACTTTGTGTTCTGTGCTGTTCAAACTCACTCTCAGTGGTACGGCCCAGTAAGAAGCGTTTTCCACAAAATCCTAGACATGGGTAATGCTATATACAGGTGGAAGGAGTCGCATCATGCATCAGCAGGACAGATACGCGCTCAACATGTTGATAACGGGATCTATTCCTGCCTGGGTCCGGAGTCCATTGCCCAGCAGAGGTGCTGCTGTTCGTGCCCACCAGCAGGGTATCAGACTGTGTAACAGGGAGTGATCACAAGGCTTCCTGTATCGCTCTTGGGTTCATGATAATCGGGCGAACTCTCAGCACTATCCTCAGAGCATGTGTGCATAAGGAGAGAAGGAGCGTAGTGCACTGCATAGTTGGAGACTACGTAGGTATCTTATCATGGTGGCCGGGTTCATTCCAGTCGAGGTCTAGTCCTTTCCTAGCCGTACTTCGTTCGTGTGTCCTCCATCTGCCCATTGGGTCCTGACATAGAAACTTCCGTGGCCAAAAGGTGACCTAGTGCCCGGGCCATCTCAAGAATGGCAGAACAGAATCGAGTGGCCAACCCACTTGTCGTCTCCATCGCAGCTGAGGTCGATTGGGACAACGTCACAATGGCCGAGAACATTGTCGTTGAGGTCGACGAGCGCATTGCCTCGGTCCTTGTACCAAGCTAAGAAAAAAGAAGAAAAGAGAACAAGCGTCAGTACCCTCCGTCCTCAGAATGCGTGGGCTCAAGGAAGTGGGGTGTATTCACTCACTATAATGGCCCAGGTCGACACCGACGGTGTTCATCTCGATGACCTGCGGGTCGCTCTCGCTGCCGACGAAGCGCACGCCGAATTTTCCGCCGCTGACGTCGTCCCTGGGCGGGAATTCGCCGGCCTCCCACAGCTCGTGGCAGTCGATCTGCCGGACAAAGTTGAAGACGTTGCCCCCGCCGTGGCTGACACTGGCGTCCTTGTGGAAGATCCAGAAGTCGTCGAAGGCGGCGGCCAGGCCGCTGCTGCCCGCGAGCAAGGTGTCGGCCGCAGCGGTGAGGGTGGTGAAGGACTTCATCTTGCAGGCTGTGGATGGTGGGTGTTGTTAGATGTTTGGTACGCTTTCAGGAGGTTGATCTGGGAAGAGGAGAAGTCCTTGGTTGACGAACCTGAGAAAATTGGGAAGTAAGAAATAATGGCACCGCAAATCAATGTGTGCAGGTACGTCTAGAGCTTTGGTCGTAGATTCACCTGGGCAAGATCCAAGGTTATGATTGCGTTTGATCAAGAGGGGTGAATATAAGGGAGCTACATAACGTTATCATCTCGTCTAATGGCCATGAATTTTGGGAGCTTCCAATTGAAGTACAATGATTCGAAGATTGCTTCTGCAATGTTCTGGGACGACCTGGCCTGCTTTATCACGTCTGGACAGATTCACTTGCGTACATAGACTTTTGCGTCACTGTCGTAGAGGATGTTAATTCAACCATGCACAGCGCCCGGGCTACTCACAATGTCCCTCTCTTAGACAGCGCATCAGTGGAATCATGATCCAAACGAGAGACACCTTGTATGCACCTACAGGATACCTAGGGTAAGCTTCTGATCAGAAGGCTGGAATACCAATCACTGAGGATATCGCAATGACCGATTACATCGTCATGAAGTCGACCAGAGCATCGCCGTGGCTGGATACAAAGCTAGAGGCCATCGCTGTCAATAAATAGATGGCTTTGTGAGATCACAACTGGCAGAGAAAATGTTATGACTTCTATGGGTCCTCTTTACACATAGATGCCCTAGAGGATTCCAGTGATAGCACTCCACAGTAAATCTCGGGGTCAGAGTTTTAGAAGGCAATTTACACGAAGCAAGCCCGTTCAGTGAGAAGAATTCAATCGTTTTTGGCCTCTTCACTATCTTTTAGAACAGTAGACCCGTCAACCATGGGTCCGAATTAGAAGTACACGATCATCGAGCTCCTTCCACGTGTGCATACCGCTCGATTGCATCCCCAAGCCATCGCATTCACTACGGCATCTTCGGAGCTGGTGAAATCTTAAGCCTGTGACCACTTGTGCCTCACGAACAGGCAAAGTAGTAGAGTTATGAGGCACCAGGGCACTCAAAGTCGCCTAGTTGGAGCCAAGAAATCCCCCGTCAGCCCTCCTCAAACAGCTGCGTCAGTGAATTTATGACTACGCAGGCTCTCGAACAAGACCAGATCAGAGCTGACGAAGGTGAAGCCACGGACCAGCTCAGGCGTGGATGTCGGAAGAACAGAAGATCATCGAATAGCCAACCTGGTATCCAAGCTGACCTGGTCGATCGCACTTGAACGTCTGCGACGTATCCGGGTGGCATCGTCCCACGACATGGCCATCCAGATCCACCATGTCATAATGGCGGTCTCCGTAGATCGCTGTTGGTACTTGTTAGGCCTGTCTTTGGTGCAACATTGAAGCTATGGAGATGTCTGCTCACTGTAATGTCCAAAGTAAGTGTTGAACTCGATGAGTGTTGGAGCGTAAGGGTCGGCATGGCTGAAGTTCACACGCACGCCTCGCTTATTGCCGCTGACGTCGTCGGAGGATCCGTAGACTTCGACGTCTTTGGCCTCGTCGCAGGTCGGCATGCGGTTCAGGAAGATTATGTAGACGTAGGTCAAGCCGAAATGATGCTGCACATCTTTGTAGATCCAGAAGTCTGCCCGAGCTCCAAAGAACAGAGACGCGAAGAGGAGGTAGAAGATCGACGGAGCCATGGTGGGCACGCTGAAGAAAGGATGTGATCTGTCGAGGGTGGAGCGGCGAGTGAAATAGAAAGTCTGTTGAACCGGGCTCCTTCTCGAAATGGTCGACGGACTGCTGTAGGGTCTTGTCGTTGCTTTCCCAGAAGTGAGCCTTGAGCAGATTTAGTGTTGCGCATTTGAGGAACGTTTGGTGGATGGGCGGGTTTGGTGTTTGGGACAATTGATTTAAAGATTCACACGATAAGCATCAAATATCAGATGCCGATTCTTATTCCCCTACTAGCTCGTTACATTTCCTTCATACTAGATGTATCCTTCCGAGACGAGTACCAAAGAGATCATTCCAATCAAATACCACACATAGCTGGAAAAGAACCAAATATCCTAGGCCCGCCACCAGATACATGACATCCACGCTGACGCAACCATAGACGTACCCGAACAACTGCAGGAAGCGCCCGAAACTCACATGCCGTTCGCGAGGAAGGACGATGTTGCCCCGAGATCTATAGAACTGAGTCACGGCAAGTAAGATCAAGACGATGGAAAGGAGAAGCACCGAGACAATGCTGAGGGACCCGCGAGTCCGCAGCCTGCCTACAGTCTTCAGCTGCTTGATGAACTGAAACACAACGAGGAAGGCATCCACCGCGCATAGCAAGGCTACCCAAATGGACCAGAACACAACATAGACGGCCGTATGCAGCCGATGGTTTTGGAAAGTGGGATGCACGTTGAAGATGAGCAGCAGCAACGATATCGGCAAGGTAGCACCGGCATAGGCCACCAGCATTCTCCGCATCTTGTGTGATGTGAGCTTGTGCTCGTGGGCCTCCTCAGGCTGCCAGTCCGAGAGCCGGCGGATCGGCGCCTGGTCTGGTAGCACAGCGGGCGTACGATGTCGCACATATACAACCAAGCTAGATCCGCCAATTAGACTTGTCTGTGACGCGAGACCGTAGGATGGGGTGTTAGCTTGACAGCCTGACATACAGGATCACAGCGCACATCCACTGGACAAAGACGGCGAGGAAGTCCAGAGACGCAGAGTATCCCCTCCAGCCTTGGAGCTCGCCGCTGGCCACACAGTTGAAGGTTGTGTAAAAGACACTGTGGCTGAGCCGTAACGCCAGCGTCGTGGTGGAAAACAGAGCATGGTTGAGGATGTAGTAGGCCGATATCCCTTTAGTGCCTTCCTTCCGGATGCGGTGGTATTGCGGAGTATATGCTGCAATGATGGCGATCCATAATAAGCTGCTCCTTCGTAAGCTACCATTGTATCAGAGCAGATGGGGCAAAGGAATCCAAGCTTACGACCCGACGACCGTGCGTACGACAGTGCCGTACTGTGGCGGACTGTCGCAATGCGAGGTGGCCATCATCACCTCATCCATCTGGAATCATCTTCTTGTAGAATTGAGAGGAATCCTGGGAATGAACGGGTGAAGCTCTAGGGCCTGGATCGAAGTGGCACCGGGCTAGATAGGGATGATGCTGAAGATGAAAGCTCAGCCCAGTCCCTGATGTCCGATGAATGCCGGTGAGGCTGTTGGACCGCGGGACCGCCACGTCAGAGTTACAAACAGGTCCAGGCTCAACGCTGGGGGTGGGAGTGTGGGAGTGGGAGTGGGAGTGGGGGCCAGCCCAGCGTACCAACGGGCCGCTAGCGAGCAGCCGGACCGCCACGATCCGGTGCACGGCACGTCGCTTGCCGCTACGGCATTTTTGACAGGCCTGGAATCGTAGGGATGCGGCCATCACGTTCGCATGCTACGTTCATGACATGCCATAGCTTGACGCCAGAGAAGGCTTCGTACTCCGGAGCAGGTGGTCTGTCAGGGTCTCCATACAGACAGCCTCCTTGAGTAGGTCCCACTCCGTATACCCGATCCACTTACGGAGTGGGGATCCGTCCCTCACCAAGTCAGAAGTCTAGTCTTGATATTTGTATATTGACCAACATACAGCCTTCAGCTACTTGAGAATGTCATCGGTGTGCCGATACACGCGTACCAGAGTTTATCTCGCAGGAAGCTCTTTTGTTATTTCTGGATAACGGAAAGCATTTAGCAATGTAGACCTTTGAACACTGCGGTATGTTCCTAGTGTGGAAATTGAATAGAGATGCTCCGCATCCCATCAAAAGCATTTTGTTCCCGGTGTAGTAGCCTAGTATTTCAGATTCAAGTTTCATAATAGCACGGACGCCCTGTACTCCAGATATCCCTCATAATACTCCATAAAAACCACCCTCTGAGAAACACACAAGCTTCTATCAGCCCCAATCATCATGTATAGTATTTGCGGTAGTACTCTTTGTAACGCGGGTCGTTGTAGTAATACCGATCGTGGTGATTTGCGTGCGTCGGCTCCGCCGGCCGGATGTTGATGTTGGTGTCGTCGATGTAAACGTTCTCGACGTTGTCCCGCCCGCAACAGTCGTACCGGTGGTGATGGTGATGGTGCCTCCGATCTGGCACATAGTATGTCCGTCTCTCGACAGACCGCGTCCGGTACTTGCGCTCCCTTGGGTAGTGCGTGCGCTTCTTCGTGCGGCCGAGTGAACAACAGCACCACAGCGCCCAGAGGACGATGAGGAGGAACACAACGGAGCCCACCACTATTCCGGCAATGGCGCCGGCGCTGAGGCCGTAATGCCGGTTGTAGTCGTGGTAGTCATCATAGCCGTTATAGTAGTACGGACCATCGTCATAGTCTCGCATCTCTCCTCGTGATAGTATCGGGTGTTTGGTCAGTGTGATAACAGGCATTGATAACGCGGATCGCGGCAAAGGCGATCTGACAAGCTCTTGGGTTGCCAGGACAGGTGACATGATGGTAAATACAGATCGTAAAAAGGTGTAAGCTTTGACGTGTCGCCCGGGAGAATGTCTCAGTAGCCCTGGTGATTTGAGTTGATGGGAGCCCTGAGCACCTCGTTGCTGAGCCCGGACCGCCTCACATAGGAAGGGATTGATGAAAGTTGAAGTTGAAAGCCGAAAGCATCCAATGTACTGACATGCAAGATGATGCAGTAAGTAAAAGTTGAAATCAAATGTCGACTGGCGCTTCAAGGAATTGTCTTGCCCGCGGGTAGAACTTGGAGGAGGTGCAGAGGACTTTCGATTATCATGCCTGTTACCGTCACCATGCGCGGCACGCGCGCTGCACTTATTAGATACCGCGCGTCAAAGGTTATTATATACCTTCACCATGCCCACCGAAACCTTATTAGCACAGTCCCGACACAATGAAACGTCCACATTACGCTGTGGCGTAATTAGATTTCGCCAGCTGTACGTCACGCGTAGTGCAAGCGATACTGACATTTATGCTCTATTCAGGATCGATAGTGAACTGGTCCTTGAAGTAATCGGTCTCTATTCAGCGCAAGTAACATTTCCAATCATCGGTTTTTGTCTGACTTCAGAAATTGTACGAGCTTTTGCATCTAAAGGTTGTGACAGGATCAAACATGCGATCATGCAATACTCATAGCATCACTAAATCTTCGAGCTGAAGGGGAAGTAGGGCAAGCACTCGACATGTTTCACGTTATCACATTTGCGGAGTCCTTCGCAAAACGCTTCTCCGCCACCCAAATGTTCGCCAGTTGTCCAAGCGCAGCGTTCGCTAGAGGTTCACTTATGTCAACCCCTCAGTCTTTGTATATTGCAGTTGTTTTAGGCATCAGTAATACGCTGTCTTATAACGATATAGGTCCTACCAAACCCCCTTCCTCTGGTTATCTGTCTAGACTAAGGCTGAGGCACACAGCATTTACTTGCTGGCTCATCTGCTGGACCATCATAGGACACGCTCTTGTTTTTGTCTTGAGTCGACACAGCCACATCCAAACCTGGGTTGCCCGTGAAGAAGTTGACCGGTTTGAGACCCACGACCATCTTCTCAGCAGGCATGACTGGCCAGTCCTCGATGCGAGGATTGTGTGTTGAACCAAACGTATGCCAAATGACAATGTCCTCGTTCCTGACCGCGTCAGGGTCACCACTTTCTTTCCTCCGTCGAATTGCTGAGGCAATACCGTCTCCTCCTGAAGACTGCATCGTATATCGACCAGCGGGGAAGAAGTCGTCGTCCCCGTAGCGCGTGACCCACACGGCATGGTCAGCGAATTCGGATCGCTTGGCATGGAAAGAGTCTGGATGTGCAAGAAGCATTTGGCTGGGTTGTGGGACCAGCTTATATCCGATAGGAGTGCCCGTGATCGGGTTCGTCTTGTTCTCGTTGAGAATTTTGAAGACTCTCCCCTTGCTTATATCAAGGTCAAACCCCCCTTCCAGTTCGATGTAATGGTTCTCGCTGTAATAGCCTACCCCGAATGGGTTGTGGACATTTGCATCATTGAAAGGCATGGCTTTGGATTCTTCGATCGCCAATGTATTCTTATGACCGTCAATGGCGGGATCGATTCGGAGACTGAAGAGGTGTTGGTGGTAAGGAGCCATTACCCCTGGTGCAACAATAGTCCCGTATGGAACTGTGCCCTTGTGGTCGAGGTGATGGGGAGCAGTCGATAAGATACCCGTTGCACGAACTTCATAAGAGATTGACGCGTCTTGGGCAAAGTGAAATGCGAATATGTACTCGTAGTTGCTGACGGTGATGATCGTCTGCAACACAAGGATACGGGATCGTGTGACAACCGCATTTTGGGTGCGGAAATTGGTGTGTTTCCAGAGAATTCCGTCATCTTGCTCATGACAACAAACCACATTGGGCAATTTCATTGGTTCCCCGGACTGGGTGTTGTGCCATGCATCAAAGTATTTGATAGTGCCTAAACGAATAGAGAGCTGAGTCTCAAGTCAAATTTGAAAGGTGGCTGGAAACCTTACCTAGGCAATCGCAGCCTAGCTGGAGGTTGTTGGCATTTATGCCTGCCCCATCATTACCGAGGTCAAATGCCCCTTTCCGTGGATATGGAGCTCGTGGGTCCCCATACGGCACAAACATCTCTGCAAGCGAAAGCCGGTAGAACACGCTCCGGCCTTCGTAACGTATATCGTGCAATGTGAGGCCTTCTCGATAATTGAACCCAACACGGAAGTTCCATTTCTCCCAGCTCACACGGTTGCCTTGAACGTCGAAAGATGGCCCTTCAGGCTGTACCACCTGGTAGGGTTTCGTGGTAGATCGAGAGTCAGACCTTAGGTCTGGATGATACTCACTGGAGGATGTAGCGTGGATTTTACGGCGATCATAGGCACGTTCCTCGTCGTTGATTCTCTCATCTGGGGCACAGGGTATGTGATAGATTCTAGTGACCTCAAGTCGTTCCGACACCTCGGCACAAATGTCGAGCGGATAAGCATAGTAATTGGCATCGCTGTGATCTAAATGGCGACAGTAGAACCAACACTCAAATGTGTATCAGCATCTGATTAAACACGCTTGATTGAAATTCTCACCATGCTGACACGCTCTGACATGTCGTTCATTCCATCAGTAGCGTAAGTCCAAGGCTCAACTATAGGGGTAGACCCTGGCGGAAGGTTCAACTTGCGAATTTCCTCTTGTACCCTCTTATCAGCTAGACACGCAGCTTCGACCTCTTTCATATATGCCGAATCGACGTACGCGTGCTTGCCTTCAAGTAGTTTTTGGCTCATTAATTTGTTTTCATCAAGATTGACCAGGAGTTCAAAGAGTTCGTTTCTTCCGCCTCTGGTCGTCGCTATCAGCTCAACGCGTGCGCAACGGACAGGTTCTTCTTTCTCAAGCTCAGACTCTCGGCATGCTCCGAGCTCGAGGAACTTTACCATCTCATTTTTGGGAGGCTCTCTGAGTGTGATCACTCGGAAATTAATGGCTTGACCCTCGTAGATGGGACGTATGATTTCAGCTGCCTGAAACGAGTATTTATGAGTATTTACTGGTTCGTTGGTGAGATGGCAGTAACTTACCCGAACAATTTCCTCGGGACGTAGGGGATCGAAGGGATGGAGTGCCATGTCGTTGGTTTAATCCGAACGGGACAATTGAAGCGTTATGCGCGATATGTTGATTTGTTAGTTATGCAATCAGTTACGGCAATAATCCCGCACCACCTGACTTCTACCTGCTGCAAATATAATTCGTTGCACGGCAAAGGGATAAGGAGGCAAGTCTTGAATCTGATGTGGCCTGTCGTATGGAAAAATCGTCAAAAGTAAGAATTGATGCCGCAGAGGAGAACAAAGGTCTTATCAGACGGCCTGCTCGCCTACAACTTCCTTCACAGGCGATGATTTACAGAGTGTATGTATATCACACTTCACCTCTAAAGGTTTGGCGCCAGATCTCCGGGGACAAGAGGTCTGCTTGTGCACCGTCCCCACATAGGCCTCCCCCTCTTTCCCACTAGCTCAACTACTGACTGACCGCGGGCGGGGAGAGAACTAATCGTAGACTTGGTAAGCTCCGGGCTTTAAAATCGAGAACCTATGACGGAGAACCATGCACTTACCTTATTGGCCGGAGACGGTCTCAAGGGAATGCTAAGCAAGCAATACTGCCCTTGGGGTGTGAATAGGGTGCGTCAGGCATGTCATAATCATTTTGATACAAAGCAAGACAAACTATTCGCTGTGGTTGTCACCACTGACATCTACATATTCTGCAAAGGCAGTCTGGATACGATAATTCAGTCACCTCGATGCTGGCCATAGCAGAAGAGAAGCAATTTTCACAACAAATAACGTTCTAAACCAGGGTCGTTTGAATACGAAGAATTTCTTATGACGTGTCAGTCACGTACTGTCATTTAAAACAGTCACTGTGTTCTGTTTGGATAGGGATACGTAATAAAAGATCAGTTACCTTCATTTGTCAAAGCCCGTATCTCAGCCTTACAATCAAGTCCGATCATGACCGACAGAGTAACTGCCGAAATTCCAAGCACAATCTTGTAGATCATTTGAATTAGCAAAGAACAAGTGCGATGCCTCATGAGCCTGCTGAGTGAGTAACTGTAATGTTCACTCTGCATTGATATATTGATTGCGTGTGCGTGAGTGCACGGGGATGTTTCACTTATATCAGAGCAGGACGACAGAATATGCCGAGTTGCATGTCGATAGCGATCATTACGGGCATTCAAGCACTCTCCCAAGACATTGACTTTCATCAGAAGGAATCCGTGAAATCATGTCGGCCATTCCCAAGCTCGCTCTCTCTCGCCTCACTTTTGTCTACTGCGAGCTCAAGTTCTCAGAAGAAGACAAGCTTGCGAAAGCAGTTTTGGATGTCTTGAAAAACGTCGGCAGTGAGAGTAGCGTGCTCAGTCTGGCCCCGAAAGGAACAGTCACTACTCACGATGAGAAGAAGCAAAGCTTTGAATGCGCATTACGATATCTCGCGGGCGCCTGTGTCGAGTGCGAACGTCAAGGCAATATAGTTATGGTACAAGTTTGCAAGAGTCTCGGGAAGAAGTTTTGTGGGAGGAAGAAGTTCAAAATGGTTCTTGATACAGCCAGGGAAGTTCCTGACATTGCGATCGACTCTTCTGATGGGACTAGAGGCAAGTTATCTTCTTAACGTGCTGTCAAACTGTAGGTCAAGGAGCAATCGACTGAATGGGCTTATAGCTGTAGCAGGGTAGAATCGAACGACCGGACGCGGATACGTACTCGGTTTGCAATTCAGACCGCGCTGCGATCTGCATTAGATTGGTGTCGCAAGGAATAGTCAATCTGGAGACTATGGGCTGTTATGGTGTATCTCGGAAATAAGGCTGACGACCATCTGCCGTGATTTCACCAATGTCTTCAAGACTTCCACGCCGAGTGCCGTACAAGGTGGATCCAACGATGCACCAAGTTGAGATATTGCGTGGAATAAGAAGTATAAGTGACTTCACGAATCCACAGTAGCCAATAAGCACGCCTTACGTAGAAGTTGTAAACCGGATAACCCATGCGAGTTTGATTGAGATCTCATCTGAACTCCCCTGTGGGGGGAGAGCGCGGGCCGCATGTCACACCCGAGACCAATCTAGTTCAAGCAATGTGGAGCGGATAACTCACCCTGGTATGTAAGCTTCGTTTGACTTATATTTCCCGATGCGCTAGCAGGGACTATAGACCCGCAGACTGCGTGTTTCGAGATGGAGGCTTCCCGGTATAAGGTGCAAGCCTCTCGCAGTGAGCATTAGAACCTGAATGACAGATCAAAGAACTCTCAATAGCCATTGCGACCGATCCCAGAAACCGCAAACATGAGATTCTCTGCAGTTGGCCTCGTGGCTGTCGCACTTCCATCGCTCGCCATGGCGTCATGGTCCCCCCTGTCCCTTTTCCAGAGAAACGTTCAGAAGAGAACTCTAGACCCAGCTACGTCCAACACCAAGGGTACATGCCCCGGCAAATACAACTGCTCCGGTACGTCGGAAATTGCAACATCGGGCCCTGGGGATCCCACACTGACGATTGATTCCAGCTTCCAAAGTCTCCAAAGCCATTCAGGCAGCGGAATGCTCCCACAATACTAGAACCTCCGGTCAGACCTTTGCCGTCTTTGTGACCGACCACCAATACGACTCATCACACGGAGCGCCGTATGGAACATGTAGCGCATACAGCTGTGCGGTGCCCACGAGTGCGGAGATGACAGACTCAAATGAGGATTGCTGGACCTTTTTCTGGGATGGCAGTGGTGAGAGTGATGGCGATGGTGCTGGGTGCATCCGATCACCGGATGACGGTACTTGCGGCTGCGAGAACTCGGATGGAACTTTCGTTCCTGGCGGCTCAGACTGCACATAGACTTGTCAAGGGCCTGGGGATATTTCGTAGCAAGTCACGTATTATGGAGCTATCGTGAGTTTTACTGTCTGAAATTAGACTGGATCCGAATGAAAGGTTTTTTATGCGATGAATAGGATTAGATCCCCCGTGGTGCGCCTCTGTCCCGCTTTCAGTATTCAGCAGTACCCATGACTGGCACGTGCAACTGTTTGTATCTAAGTGCACGCTTTTTTAAACTGGTCAAACTAAGCGCAATTTTGCAGCTTAAAGAAGCGCCGTCACGTTTCATGTACACGTTTAAAAGGAGAGACGTGAGCATCCATTATTGTATAGCTCATATATAGCTCAAATTCCTATGTTGCGCTAAGTGAGGGTGGTGTACAGGCTTTTTCTTTGTGACTTTTTTTCGTGCTCGGAGAAATTTGCCCCGAATTACTTGAGGTTGTTTATGAAGTAAAATAACGGAAAGAGCCAGTTAAAATCGTTTGTATTGATAGTGACTATTCTTCGATGGAAACTTCTGGTGGATGTAGATTAATCCTCTATCAGATTTGCCCTCTCCACGGCCAAGACTCGAACCATGCTCTCATTGCTTTATAATGTCACATCATTGAAAATTTTGCTTGGCAATTTACCAACTCAAACTCATTCATAACAGTTTTTGTGCAGATGATAGAACAATGACACTTAGAATGTCCAGTAGCCAACTAAAAAGACGGGGGAGATGTAAAATAGAAAGGGAAATCAAAACAGGCGAATGCCGACAAAGTATGTTTGAATACTGCGGGGGCCGAATCTAAGATGAGCGCCATCTCCGGACTTGCATAATAGTTTGTCTTTGGCCAAACAATGTCTATGGACTTGATTATCGATCGATTGCCATATCCTTCTGTATCCTTGTGTATTCAGGTTCTTGTTCAAAGACGTCACACTCGATTTTTGAGCCATAGAAAATAGAGTTACCACATTCCCGTAATAATTTGTGATGTCTACCATAGCATATATATATGTATATATTCACGTTTTGTAGCAACGTTTCTGGATACGCATTGCCGATTGGGAAGACAAGTCCTTTAGGCCCTCTTTCAACATGGGATCAGGCGTCCCAACACGTTCATTCAAGAATCTGACTAGTCTGATCAAGTGGCGATCTCCGTCAACTCAACCAAGCACCTCTTCCCCTCCCTGATTGCCACATTGGCCAGCGTCAGAGATCTTGCGCTTGTCGCCTCTCTATCCTGCTTGCTTCGCTGAGTGAAGTGCGACATGTGCGCCACGCATCCCGCGCCGCTCTGACCCGGCGCCTGCCATGCCGCGACTTCATCATTTGAGTCCATAGTCAGCAAGCTTCCGGCGCGCACAGTATTGGTGGCTTCGCGCCAAGAGTCACGGGTGAAGAGGCTGTGGTTGATACTGCGAGGAGGTCTCCGGTTAGTACAATCAAATGTCCGAATGACATAATTCATCAGCTTCATGACACGCTGGTGACAAATTGAACTTGTGGGTTTGTTGGCACTGTTACAGAACGTCGAGGGATGAAAACGACTTCAGAGGTCAGGAAAGGGGCCAAAGTGATCCGCCATACAAGCGTTGTGACTTACCGAACAACCAGGTCCGGCGCAATGTATGCATCGAATACGATCATGGAATGTGCATCGTTAGGTTGAAAGAATATATTCTTAAACAGCTCGTCAACCCACTGGCCCAGGGGCGTTGACGTATCTGCTAGTTGCGTGTCCGACATACTCTGCAGTATTGAGCAACCTGGGTTGAGGAACTAGTTTGAGTTTCTTGGACGAAAAACGCATATGAGAGGATAATTGAGTAGTACTTGAATATATACTAATGGACCATACCATGGGGTTCCGCTGTGCGCCATCAGAATTATTTAAGAGGTCATCCGCAACCCGCTATCCGCCCGCAACGGCTCCACAAAAGTCCGCTGGCGGTCACCGTCAGCAAGTTTCCGGAGCACGAGACTTTGCATCCCCTAGTGCAGTCTGCTTTCCTTGGCTCTAATTGATATTGATACTAGAGCCATATGGCCAACCTGCTTCGCTGCTCATAAGATCACCTTAAGAACCACGGAGTCTGATATGGGTCTATCCGATGGGTGATCATCGCACTAGAGAGGATTTATCTTCCATCAAAGATCTTGCAAATCGCGTCTTGACGGAAGCATGCCGCACGAGGAAACATTTTAGGGTGTGTAAGTATTCTCTCATATCACTGATTAGGGAGCATGGTATGCTCGTGGTCACGTTCAAGATCTGTAACTACCGGAAAAATCCATGACGTCTCTCTTGATTCCTTCATGAGTCGCCAACTCTTATCGAAGACAGCCAAGAGACATTCTACTACCGGAATCGAGACTTTCTGTTGTCTCCTGAGATCGAAGATCGGAGAAGTTCCCTCTTGTGGACCTTGAACCAGTTGTTACTGGTCTTAGTAGAACCCGCAGGGGTAGAGGGCGGTACAGGGTTTGCTTTGCTGTGATGTATTGTGCTGTCAGTTTGACTTGCTACTACGGTGCTCCTTTGTTCTCTCTGACTGCCCTAAGCCAGGTAGCCCTGCTTATCTAATGCTTCGTGCAGACTGCGTGCTGATGCCTCGAGCCCAAAGAACTTGCTGTTCCGCGCGGCAGCCGACGAGATTGAATCAATTTCGCGACCAAAGATACGGAGATGGGTCTGAGCGAGTGAGCGCCAGGCAGAGCTAACTTGCTGTGTCTGCTCTGGATGTGCTGTAGTTGCACTGATGGCGCTGGCCCACGGATAGATGGCATACTGGATAGTCCATGAGCGCACTTCGTTATTGTACTTGGTACTCTGACCCTTGCTCTCGTTCATTTCTCTCCCAGGCTCGTTGTACCATGGATTCTCGCATAGAATCATTGACTGTATCGAAACTAACACTTGCAAGATGGTGGAGTGGTCAGACCGCCAAGGCTCGCCGGACCATGTACCTAGCAGCGACAGACATACTGAGAAGTGGTTAACGTAGTGTACGGAGGAAGGAATTAGTAGAACTTACCTTTGCCATCATCATACAGGTTCGGGTTGAATCTAATCTTACCGCCTCCCGTCGTCTTGAACTGAACCTTCGGAGGGCTTGACGGGTAGTCCACAGGGCAGTACAAGTCAAATTCAAAGAAGCCGTACTCGTAGGGCGTACCTTTGGGCCCGATGATCAAAAACTTCATCACATCAAGTCTCGAGCTCCCATGGATGACAAATATTCCCTCTGGCAGAGATGTCTGTAACGTAGATATCTCGGTAATGAGGCGTTTCATGCGCCCTTTCGGTGGTAGTGAGGTTGCAGCAGCGCTGGCTTGTTTTGAGAAGTAGTGGTTGTGAAGAATACGATCGTCTTCAATTTCCCTGACGGCATGTTCCCGATGATACTCGCTCCAGCTAAGTGTCGCAGGCTTCTTCCCTTTCCCACCATCGATATCCATCTCATTAGCTTTGAACTGTTGCGAGTTCGCCTGGTGGAAAGCCGATATTTGAACAACGCGTTCGGCCCAGAGCAACAAATCAGTCTCGTTCTTGCCCATGAAGTCATGTTGATTGTGTTGTGCATGTTGCCGTAAAGTCCTCCCTTGTGTGGCAAGGCGCGAGAGCAGGTCTGCCAAAGATTTCCCAGTGTCTCGTGGTGTGACTTTGGTCTTCTGCCCGTCTTTCCGGAAAGAAACATTAAGCATTGATCCTGACTTCGTGAATATTTGGCGCTGGTTATAGATTAAACCTGCCGTTGCCGTGTGGCAGCCTAACGCATTGACAAAATCAAGCATGCCGTCATATACTGGAGTCATTAGCAGGTTGATCATGGGTGATACCTACAAAGTGTTCTACAACAGGGTTGCTTAAAAGGGAAAATTAGGAGAAAATGTAGTACTTACAGCTGTGCTGCTTCGAAATGTCGTCGATCGAATCATTCGTAAGCATAACAGCTGCGCGGGTCATAAGTGGACTCCGAGCCAGCATGGTACTGAGATGAATGGGCGGCGTCATATCTATGTTCGTAGGGTTTGGTGCGTTGAGGGACGGCAGAAGTACAGATACCAGTCGAAAATAGGCCTCATGCGCTAGATCCTCTTTGGCATCTAGGGGCTTTGGTGCTATTATGGTGTTGACAGCTTTCTGCCTCCTGCCGGGTCCGAATGGCATCGACCAGGCATCAGCGCCCCCATAACCCGTGCCTTTGGCTACGATTGGAGTTCTGTGGAACAAATTACGAGAGTGCCGAGCATGTGATGGACTGCCTCCCTGGGTATGCCAGGTGGTTTGTGGTCTGTGTGATCGCAACTTATTGACAACCGCCTGTTTCAGAGATCTCGAGGGGAACTGCTCCCACCCACACGCAAGAGCCCACAGCGCAAACTCTCGCCCACCGTCACAACAGTAGTAGACCAGAAACTCCATGCCCCCAACGCTGATCTTGGTGGATGGGAGAGAAAGCGGCGATATGTGCTGAGAAGCGAAGCCCCATGATTGGGAAGGTTCTGCTTTGATTATCGTTCTGCAACCGGGGCAAGTTATCGCCGAGCAGAAAGCACCACCTGAACACTGCAGTCCACACACTATTTTACCTGTGCTGGCAACCCACTTCCGTGTCATATCCGGGATGTCTTCTTGTCGTGTGGTGATTCTTCTGCTGCACGCCGCGCAAGGAACATTGAGCGACCTGGTGTATTGCCTTAGCTGCTCAAGACAGATCTGTTCTTCCTCGGGAATCTCGGCCCAGTCCTCTTCGTCCTCATTAGCAACAGAAAGAGGTGGTGGGGAAAGTACCCTGGAAGACGTGTCGATTTCCATCTCAGTCGGTGCATCTGGTGCCAGTGTTCCTGGGTGCCCTGGGAAGCAGGGATCAGGGAGTACGTCGAAGCCCACGTTAGGGAGAATGAAACCACCATGCCCTGTCGAATCACTCAACGGAGCCGCTCCAATGTCCATGTCTGTCTCTTTCCCCGTTGCGGACGCGTCTACCAGCTCTTGATTATACTGGAGCTGCAAGGCTTGCGCAAGTTCCTCATCCTTGAGGATCTGCTCCATAAAGTAACTCGCATTATCCAGATTTGATGGCAGTTCAGGGATGAATGATGCTGCTTGGTGCAATGGAAAACTGAAACTGTGCGATCCGCTAGCCATTGACGGGGACACAAAGGCCGGGGATTTGTCTGTTGAGTTTTGTAGGGCGGGTGCGTTTGTCGCGGGATTCGAATGTGGAGTGTTCAGGGGCGAAAGAGGCTGCGGAGGTGGCCAGGATGGCTCTTGATATAACTCGAAGGATCTTGGCGACAGCCTACCTGGCGCAAGAGGTGGCAAGGGAGAAGTGAGCTTCCGATCAGTCTCGCAAGAGTGCACGAACGGCGAGGGAATGGCCGAAATCGCTTCGGCCGAATCCTGATTCGAGCGCGGGGTGGCCATGGTCAAGTCGACAGGATTGTTCCAGGTGCCGCCAGTATAAAGAGAAGACGACCCTGGCTGAATGTGATTCACATATTCTGGAGCCCAAGACCAGGTCACTTGGCCGCTGTTCTGCGAGCCCATCGTGTCTCCGAGGTGCTCCTGGTCGAACGGCTGGACCGATGCGGCAGAATATTCTGCCAGTGCTGCCACAAGTCTTCCTTCCACGTCTGCCGTGTCTTCCTTGGAAGTGCTGCTCTTAATATTCGTATGCTTATCGGGCTTCCTTGACGAAGCACGACGGGAATGACTAAGTCGGCGTGATAGGCTTTTGACTTGGTCCAGTCGAGGCCCCATGGCGGACGAATGTCTGATTGAACATGAGGAGGAACTGCAGACTCTGTTGCCGACGAGGCTATGGTTGGGCCAGCAGGTGGAAATTCAGGCCCTTCGCAAAGCTGTACGGACTAGGTAGATCTGCATAGAGATCAGAACAAGGGCTCGTAGCTCATGGTTGCGCAAGTAGAGCTTCTTTTGGATTTTGCAGGGTTCGGTAAACGAAACACTACAGTAGGCGAAGAGAAATGGTGAAAGTAAGAAAAGAAGTAAAGTAAAACAGCTCTTTCATAGGATGTTGAGGCCAGGCAGACTTTGCAAAGAGTTGATAACAAGAAGTGGAACAATGCGTACCAAGGAGGCACTTTCCAGAATCAGGCTCCGTCGATACCTAGGTATTGAAGTAGTAGTCCTGGACGCTCCTGTTGACTTCAGCCTGGTGCAGCCTGATCTATCTTCGGCTGGGAAAGACGTCGCTACTTCCTCAAGGCTGCTGCCCTGAACTGCAGACTGTCGAGAACCGCAGCGCCAATTTCAAGTCTGCAGAGAGTGTTTGCACTGCTTGAGACGGAACGGGCCAAAATGTGAGCCGTCAGTCCCGGGGCCGGATATGTGTAACGTCGTCTATAGCTCCCGTTGCCGCAATCGCAAATGAACAAACGCTGTCCTAGGACCATCAAGCTCGACAAGCCACGCTGCAGTAGATGCTTGACTTGGAATACTCGCTCCTATCCCTGGCTGTAGCGTATGTTGCCCGGTTACAGTGACTGCCTGGATGCAATTGCCTGGTCGTACGAGAAGCCAATCACGGCTCGGCAGCTTCTGGCGGCCTGTTATGCAGATACGCCGGTCCGCGCGAGTAAGCTTCGAGAGATTAGGTAGACGGGAGCGTGTGGCTTTGGTGGAGGAAGTCAATTGTGACGAGCTACATGTGAATCAAATAAGAGAGAGAGGGGACCTCGAGGGAGCTTCCCGTCGTCCAAGTGACCGAAAATAGGTCCCATCCAGCTGACACACCATAACCAGATCCGTCATCCGACTGGAATGCGTGCTTTCGCTTGTCTCAGGTAACCAACAGCGAGTTGTACCCCTTCACGTGGTCGAACAAGCTCAGATGGTCCCCCCTCCAACGGGGCGAGCCTTAAAAGGGCACCTAAAATGCCTGCAGTACAACATTGCCCAAGAGGCGGCCACGCGACAACCACGTAAATGGCACGTTGATGTGATAGCGATTACTGGGCCACGACTGCATAGAGTTTGGCTGTCAGCCGCAGACCCCGCAGCAGATGGACTCCAGTTCCTTTTTGAGTAGACGCTGCATACTGTGTACTGGCTCCCCACCTAGGCGACCCGTAACCCTCCAGGGAATGTCATGCTTTCAACATAGGTACTAGAGGACGCCTAAGTCAGGAGGTATCTGTTCCTCCTCTTTTCCGGGTCGCCGAGTATCGACCTGTAGCGATATCCACCTGCTTCAATCAAGCAGGAATTTGGTGTAGTAGCGCAGTCTGCAAGCTATCTATCAATCTGTCAGCTTGAGAGCGGGGTTCTGTTTGGGTGGCTCAAAGTCGTGCCGAGACAAGACGACCGAGTTCCACTATGCAATAGGAGACGCGGCCTGGATTGCCCGCCAGAGACATGTACCAGAAGGAGGAGGGACATATACAGAAAGTCCATTTCAATATGGGGTATCTTAAACACTAGTGACCAAGTAAATCCACCAAACACCAAAATGCTAGGAAGGGGCTGCACTCCTTATGTACATTACCTGAATCCGCCTGGCTTCTCGCCCCATGTATTATATACCGCCCCCAGCCTGGCTTAACCACTTCTTAGATTCTGGCAATACCTCAGCTATATGCCACAGATGCGCACCCTGACGGAGCCTCTCTCCGGCCTATCCAACAGGATAGTTGAACTTCAGTCTCTCGTTCAGACCCCCTACCCACCCGTCATCGTCGTCTCCATCATCGCCTTGGCCACTGCTCCTAATCACGCAAGGAACACCACCAGTCCACTTGCCCGTGGCATCAGGTGCGACGACCTCGCCTGTTACTCTGATCTCCATCCCAATCGTGACACCGGCTCGTCGCTTGCCGTCAAGACTGACCTCAAGCTCGCGGCCGCGGTTTTTCTTGCTAACCTTAAGCACAACCTTCTTGTTCAGGGGGAGGCACAAGTGACGGAAGCTCAGCGTACGAGCACATATCGGTGTCAAGAGCATGGACTTGGTCAGAGGGTGAATGATGGTTCCACCCGCTGACAATGAGTAGGCGGTAGACCCCGTCGGCGTACTGACCAGGATGCCATCTGCGACCGCCTCGGTGAGGAAGCGGTTACCGACGTAAACATCGACAATGGCTAGGTGTGGGTTTGGTCCACGGTGAATAACCAGTTCGTTGATGGCGTGCAAATCGGGGATGACTGGCTCTCCTGACTTGGACATCTCCTTGACCTCTGGGGCCACGGGTGGCAGAGGCTGGTGCAAAGCAGCGGTCGAAGTCGGCAGTAGATGTTCGTTGATGTTAACCCCGTTTGCATCGTAGACACCAACCTTCAAGCGGTGGCGGAGCAGAATCTTGCTTGCGCGGGTCGCACCCATATTTTTCCCCCGCATGTTCGCCCAACCTTCGGACAGTGTTTCACTGCCATCGTGCTGACCATGGCGGCCGTTGGCGGCTTGCGTATGAGGACCTTGAAGGTCGCTGACTGCCACCCGGCTGCCACACATGTAGACCTCGCGCCAGGCGCGTTTGTACTCTTCGAATTTCCACTCGCCCAGAAAGCCCAGGGTTCCCATACTGAAGGACAAGATCGGAGGCACAGAGGTGTGCAGACTGAACAGACTAGCAGCCCGTAGTATTGTCCCGTCCCCTCCCAGGGTCGCTACGAGATCGATCTTGGCAGGGAAATGCGACGGTTCGGAGCTGTAGATAGGGAACGGCAGCGAGTCGTGAATCGTAGACGCCACTCTGTGTTCGAAGATGAAGTTGATGTTGGGGTACTCGGCGTTTACATGCTTGACAAAATCGACAGCCGACGTGATGACCTTGGGCGCATATAGCTTCGGGACCACGAGTACATTCCGTGGTGGCTCCGGCCACTCGAGCGAGAGCAGCGACGACGTGGGACTGGTTCTGTATCGCGGAACGGTACGCTGTGGGAGCTCGGAAACATCGCGTATCTCTAGTCGGCGTGCAGTCGTCGAAAACTCGCGGCCAAAGCCCCGTCTGAGCCGGAAGGCGACCCGTGTGCAGGCCATGGAGAATGACTTCGGTTAATCAAGCTGCCTTGTAGCTCTCGCCGCGAATGGTCATCTTCCGCTCGTCAAACCTGGCTTGTGCGTGCAAATAGTCGGTGAAAGCTTGACCAAAGAAGACTGGCTCACTCCATGGCGTAGAAGAGTCTGCGTTCGGCAGCTTCAATTGTTGCTGTTGCTGCTGCTGCTGCTGAGGTCGAAGTCGGGGTCGAAGTCATGATGCAGACAGGCGACGGCAAGCCTACAGGGGAAAATAAAGCCGATGGAATCCCCGTTAGCACGCAGCCAATCATCGGCCGCCTATTTCCCCCAAAAGACCCTTGGGCTGGCATTTGCGTCCATGGGTTCTTCAAGGGTTCTTCAACCTTGTTCAACCCGAATGTCCAGAATGTCTTGAACCTTTCCTTGACAGTCACATTTGCCAGCCAGGGAGTTCGTTCTTTGCCCGCATGTGAAGGCTGCCCATCTCCCAACCGCCATGGCCGATGTTTGGCCGCTTGTTGAGTCGAGACTGAATGACATCATTCCACAGCCAGCATGTGTAGCGACAATGATTTATCGAAGGTCCAAGCCGCTGAGCGGGCTTTGGATTTCTAAGCAGTCGTCGTGGGTTTTGTTTCTCTTGGAGACCAATTTTTTCTCCTCCCGACGATCTCGACAATTATCTCTGGGTGGCGAGCAGACGAGAGTCATGCCGCCGAATGCTGCCAAACCAGCGCCGGGTTTCGCTACCTAATGCGGCTTTGAGCTATTTGAGCTATCGCCAGGACCTTCCCGCAAGCTTGCCAGTGGTGGGGCTTTTGACAAACAACTTTTGGGAAAGTTGCCCCGCATGGCTCGACGATACTGCTGAAGCCCCGGTGCGGAGTAGCTTTGACTCGGCCGGCGAGAGTTGCTGATGAATGCAGACAACTGATCTCTTGGCTTGCATGGGACACATATACGAGTGTATACTAATCAGTGCACTTTCTATATAAACTTAAGCTCGAATTCCTTCTGGCCAGTTCAAGTGAAGCAAGATCCTTTCCTGCACTATCCACGTCCCATCCGTCCCTCGAGTCTTTTACACACACACGCGGACGCAATGGCTAGCTCTAAGACGTTCAATGTTGGAGTGGTGGGCTATGGGTGAGAGACGCCGCATCCTATGCGCCTCGGAGCATTCTTGCTAACATAATGCTTTAACAGCATGTCAGCCAAGGTCTTTCATATTCCCTTCATCAAGGCGACCCCATCTTTCCGGCTGCACTCAATCCTGCAGCGCTCGCCGAAGCCGTCCGACTCGGCGCCGGCGGACTACCCGGACCTCCAGCACTTCACTACCTACGACTCCTTCCTCGCCGACTCCGCATTGGATCTTGTGGTGTTGACGACAACCCCGCCAACACACTTTGACCTGGCTAGCCAGGCTCTCAAGGCCGGCAAGCACGTCCTCGTCGAGAAGCCCTTCGTGCCCACAGCCGCCGAGGCTGACCAACTCGTGGCCCTCGCAAGGGAACATGGCCGTCTCCTCTGTGTGTACCAGAACCGCCGCTGGGATGCCGACTACGTCACCGCCAGCAAGCTGATCAAGGAGGGTACACTGGGGCGTATCGTCGAGTTCGAGACTCACTTTGACCGTTATAAGGCCGAGAAGCCCACCAACTGGAAGGGGACGGTCTCCACGAACGATGGAAACGGGGCCATCTACGATTTGGGCACGCATCTGATCGACCAGGTATATGCTCTCTTTGGCAAGCCGCGCAGTGTGTTCGCCAAGTTTGCGAGCCAACGCGATGGGAAGCTCCCAGGATGTAGGGTCAAGGTTCATGAGGATGAGACGGACAGCGTGACGGCACAGCTGTTCTACGATGACGGTCTTGTGGCACTCGTGCGCATTGGAGTCTTGAGCGTTGAGCAGGAGCAGCCGCGCTTCTGGATCAGGGGCAGCAAGGGAAGTTACCGCAAGAACAATCTCGACCCGCAGGAAGACCAACTGAAGGCCTTCAATGAGGGCAAGAAGGGCGGCCTCAAGCCTGACGATGAGGCATTCGGTGTGGAACCCGCCAGTTGGGTAGGGAAGCTGAACACTCTCGGTCCTGATGGCAAGACAGGCCAAGAGCAAAATTACCCAACGGTCAAGCCCCCTACGTATAGGGAGTTTTACGGACGCCTCGCGGCGGCTCTGGCTAGCGGTAAGGAGGAGGACGTTCCCGTACCAGCGGCGCAGGCGAGTCAAGTCCTGAAGATCATCGAGGCCGTGAGGGAAAGCAATAGAGACGGAAGGGAAGTTTACCTGGATTGAAACACTGGATAGTCACTGGATAGTCCCCTACTAGCCCACAATAATTCACTTCAAGGCTCTTGAGCATCATGTATTTCCACGTACGTCTTGCAACCCACGTGAAAATTGTCGGTATTCTAGCAAAATCAAACCTGTTTGCCTCGTAGATAATGGCACGAGGAATATAAATGCGGTCCTACGCAGATTGCCAAGAGTACTGGAATCTATTAGTTTGCAGCGTATGATACTAGTGCACTCTTTGCTCTCCTCGTATTTTTCAAATATTACATATGATGTAGTAGAATGGCAAGAAGCAAAAATTTGAGGCCAACTCCCCATTTACTCGCTTCATGCTTGCAGCCAGGCTCTATGCCGGGCGCAATCGACGTCTCGACGTGTTAAGTTCTATGCTCTAGGTCGCTAGCAGAATGCTTCCCCTTTGTTCAGGTTGTCGCACCTTATGACGCGTGCCAGCTCCATTACCAGCCTCTATCCTTAAGCTCCTTGAAGGCAGAATGGCATGTTGCCACAACTTTGTCTTTACCATGCTAAGCTCCCTTCGGCGCAGTGTCTCCTATTATGCATCATAGATCTCATTGATCCAGTGAAGTGCCTTCTCAGCCACCGTCTCGCTGTTGCCTGATTCAACATTAACTTGAGAATTGAATGCTAGACTTTGTTCGAAGGCTGAAAACTTACGAATGCAGAACGCGTGCGGCAGGTTGCCCTCATCAACAACGCACCGCGTACGCTCGGCCTTCTGGCTCATCCGCTCAATGAACTCATCCCGCAGGTGGCTGGCAACCCAGTGGTCATCTTTTCCGAAGAAGAAGAAGAACTTTGGCACCACCTGCTGCTGCTGCTGTTGGGAATTGCCGGTCGCAGCCGCCTCGGCCTCGGCCTCGATCTCCCACAGCTTGTCGTCCCACTGGCCCTCGCCAATGGCCTGCATCTCGTCCATGCCCATGTGCAGGGCCTGCCAGACGCCGTCGCGGCTCTGCAGGAAGCGGACGGTCACGTCGGCGGCGTGGGGCGGGAAGCCCAGGACGGTGCGGACGAACCAGCTCAGGGCGGCACGCGGCCACAGGCGGAGGAACCCGCGCGCGACCAAGTGCGCGTGGGCGCCCAGCACTGGCGTCCGCCGCAGCAGATCCAGACGCAAACCTTGTGGCGACCGGTTGATGTGCTCGATGGTAGGGAATAGCAGGATTCCGGCCCGGAGATGCAGTTGCGGCGCTGAGGCCGGGTCACGCAAGAGCCGGTGGAATATCTGCAGGATGATATACGTGCCCACTGAGTGGCCCATCAGCAACACGTCGTCATACGGCTTGCCCTTTCGGGGTCCATCCTCCACGCGGAGGCCTGACAGCGTATCGAAGCAGTCCTGAATTTGATACGCCACGTCGTGTGGTGGGTTGGCACTGGTGAAGGGCTTGTGGTCATTGTCGTCGAACCCAGCGAGGTCCTGGCCATAGATATGGAAACGAGTGTCCCTTGAGCTTGGCGAAGAGTCAAGCAGGTGTCTGAGAGTCGACAGAAAGGACTCGTAATAGTCGATGAGCCCGGGGTTTCCGGAGATGAAATAGATCAGGACATCCCGTGACGATGTGCTGGCGCCGTCCGTGGGAGACGGGTATGAAAGTGAGTGAACTGCCATCTTCCCCAGAGGTCGTGGGACCTGTTTTGAGGCTGCTAAGGACAAAGCATTACTATATCCAAGTGGGAGTTATTAAACAACCGGTCATAAGTAACAGTATATTTTGACTCGAGTTGAGCACCTAACTTACATGTAGGATGTATTGGCACGACAGACTTCTGTTAGCTGGAACTGAACTGACCCTTTCATGCCACTAACTTAGTGAAGCTAGCATAACCTACCAAAACAGCCACGCTGTGGCGCTGGAACCACTGCCTATCAAACCCATGGAAGCTTATCGGACTACAGGTGCTGCAGGCTTACTGTAAGTACCTAGGTAGTGGCCAGGGTATGTGTCTACCGTGGGTACTTGGGTCGGTAACTAGGGACTGTAAGTTAAAGTCCGACCCCCCCGGAAAGCAGGGCAGCAGCTGGGCCTTGCCAGGTTGCATCCAGGGAAGTTGGTGGGGGCACGGCGTCGAGCTACGGCGCCTGATGACCACATGCATGATTTAGGACGGGAATGGGAATATTGGATGGAATGGCATCCAAGCCAACGACGAGCTGACGACTTGTTCTCTTCCGCCCTGAGCCCTCGTGCACATTCTTCCCTCTCACCCTAGGTCGACAGTGCCCCTAAAGCCCCAAGCGCTCACCCGATAAGGATCGCGAATATGAATTGACACTTTGGCTTCAGGTGCGTTTCCGTCTCTTTCACCGCCGCCCCTCCAAGCTGGTCCAAAGTTATCGTTATCGCGATTCGCTGCACGGCGGGCGTCTTGCAGCGCTTGGCCAAGGCAACCGTGCAATGCAACCGGAGCACGCGACATGTACACATTCCTAGCCTGTTCGTACTGATGATGCGTTCGTAGCTGGCAGCAACCCGACCAGTCTCTCGAGAGTGCCCTGTGACTGCTCTGCTCCTCGCCCGATCTCTCTTCCATTCCTCCCCATCGTTGCTTGGCCAGATCTTCCACCTCCCCGACTGTGGAAATCAGGGTTCGTGCCACCCCTCGCAAGAGACTCTCGTCCAGTACGTGTCGACTTCGGCCGTTCCTCAGGTCCCGAAGGCCATGGCTACCGGAGAGCTGCGCCAGCGGCCGGCCGCCAAGGACGTGCCGGCCCCGAACCTGTCCGCCGGCGCATCCGGCCAACAAGAAGATACGAAGATTGCACATCCTTCCGGCAAAGAAAGGCACGGCACAGTCGTCTCCTATCTCAGGGCCCTCACGTTCGCCGTGTACTTCACGAGCTCTTGTGTAGCGTATGGCCCTCATGCCCATGCCCAAAGCGTCTCGACGTGGTCTCTAACCGTAGCCATATAGTCTCCACATCACGCAGTTCCTGGGTGCACCGCTGTACTGGCTGAATCGCGACCTCTACTATGCCTACATGGCTCTGCCTAAGCAGTCTTTCGGTCTGGTGGTGACGACCATGACCCACTGGTGGGCACCAACGACGATAAGAATAAGCGGAGATGCGTCTGTGGCTGGTCAATTCAGCTTGACGCCGGATGGCCGCGTGCAGTGCTCCTTCCCGGAACGCCTAGTCATGATTGCAAACCACCAGGTAGGGCTCAATGCTCCATGGAGAGAAAAGGGTGCATGCGGTGTGCTATGCTAACATGGTCGTGCAGATCTACACAGATTGGCTGTATCTTTGGTGGGTCGGCTATACGAATGTCCCATCCATGCACGGGCATATCTACATCATTCTCAAGGAGTCGCTCAAATGGATCCCCATAATAGGGCCTGGGTGCATGTTTTTCGGATTCATCTTCATGTCCCGCAAGATGGCTACGGATCAACCTCGTTTGGCACATCGACTTGGCAAGCTGAGGACAAAGCATACAGATCCTGATGGCGAGGAGTTCCTGAACCCCATGTGGCTGCTTCTCTTTCCAGAGGGGACCAACCTCTCCAATAACGGACGAGTCAAATCCGCCAAGTGGGCAGAGAAGATCGGCGTCAAGGATCCGGCGCACCTTATGCTACCTCGCAGTACCGGTACTTTCTTCTGTTTGAACGAGTTGAAAGGGACGGTCGACTACGTGTATGATTGCACGGTTGCCTACGAGGGCGTCCCGTAAGTTATTGGGTGAACACACTCAATTGGTTTTCGTGTAACTAACTTCATCCAGTCGCGGCGGCTACGGTGAGGAGTACTTCACTCTTGCTAGCACCTATTTCAGGGGAAGGCCTCCAAAGTCTGTCAACTTCTACTGGCGACGATTCGCGCTGGCCGATATGCCCCTTGACGACCAAGAGGAGTTCGATCGGTGGCTACGCGCACGTTGGTATGAGAAGGATGAATTGCTAGAGCAATACGTTTCCACCGGTCGATTTCCAGCCAACGGTGCCGGTATTAAGGGACATATCGAAACCGAAGTGCGAACACAGTATCCGTGGGAGTTCTTGAAGGTTTTCGTCATGCTCGGGGGTTTCGTGCTAATATTCAAGTTCATCCTGAACAGCATAAATCGACTCATCGGCTTATAGGTCAAGTCGTTAGCAAGACTGGCCTATCTTCTACATTGCACTTGTGAATGTCCGGATACAGGCGAACGGGCAAGGTTACTTGAGGAGGGTTTGTCGGTGGGCACTACACGGACACAGTAAATAAGGCAAGCAAACAGGAGGGCATTGATACCACGGAGGCATATTCATACGGCGGGGGCGTTCTCACTTTAGAGAGGCATCAAGTTTGAAAACTCTTAAGCTGGCGGCCTTGGGCTGTTACAAGCATGACTGAATTTCCCACTCATACATAGTTTTACGGACATATTGATACGACCGATATCTGCTTACACTGCCCAATGCATCGATGTTTTGGATGCGGCTTCTGTTGTCTCGCCACTTCAGCTGGCATTTGGTGCGTCAGTGTACTTCGCAGCTCACACGATCTTAAAACTCGACGGCTAGGCGTGTCCATCCCTAAATCCTTTGCTCAAGCACCCCAGCCAAGAGTAAAATGTGACGACCCTCTCCCTCCAGCCCCTGATCTCCGAACCTTTCTCCACAAATGATTAGACGCAGGAACAAACACTGAAGGGATGTCACAGAGCCGCGGGACGTGGAAAAGGACGTTACGATCTACTACATGCGACGCGATGGACCAATGATGGTCTCGCACAACGCAACATATCTCCACGATCGATCGCCCCCAGGGCATCTTCAAGCATTATGCCAGCATTCCCCCAAAGGAGCAGCGAACTCCACGTGGTGTGTTCTACTCGTGTTTCCCCAACCCATGCAAGGCCCGGCGGGTCTGAGGAGGATCGTCCTTCAGGCTATTTTGAGACACGTACAGACACCTACACTCCTTTTGAACGCAGGGCGAAAAAGGCGCCACGTTGAGGCTCTGTCGCTTTCGTTGCCGTGAGATTGATAGTCGCCCTTTGTAACGACGTTCATGCTGCTGTCTCGTTGCGATGAGTCTCATCCGGTGTCATGTCGTATGCAGCTTCTGTACGAGCCGGAGTATGCAGTCGGTTTCAGTTCGTTATCAGCCGAGTGGCTTCTCCTATACGTTCCCCAGCTATTGATGAAGGAGAAACATAAGAGCCTTAAATCTACTTGATTTCATTTGTCTTCGGAGAATAAGTGAGCATAATTCTTCTGGTTCTGTTTATGCTATACCACGTTGCCGAATTGGTCTTCTCTCGTGGGCAATTCTAACCCCTTGAAGCGGCCATATACTGAAGAACCACAATACGCGCGGGTGCCTTTTGGGCTTCCCCATACGGACAGACGCTGCGCTGAGGTGTTCTTCCCTTTCCCCTGCTCTGTGGTCATACACGGCACCTCGCCTTTCACTATGGGTGGCGTTAGGATGGACAATATGTATGACTCGGAGGACTCGATGGGCTCCATCGCGCCGCTGCCTCCCGTGCTGCAGCGTGGCCTCATCGCTGTTTCTGCGTTCGCTTTACTGTCCTGGGCGACCTCGCTGACCTTATTTGTGTATCTAACATACAGGCTCGCCGTTTGGCAAATGCGGCCCTTCTTCGACAATATACAACCTTTAGAGGCAGCAGCAGCATCAGGCCCAGAGCAGGCTGAGTCTCCAGACGAACTGGGTACTACAGATGTCAATGGATTCTTAGTCCCGGACACATATCTGTGCCCCCCGAATGACGAAGATCAAGAGCTCCAGCCTCGGCGGCGTCGGCGGCGGCCGGGCTTCTGGGCCCTGCTACTCCAGACGCGGCCAAACCAGTTCCTGGTGCTAATATACTGCCTACTCTTCGCCGACATGCAGCAGGCGCTAGCCTTTCTGCTCAATGCCTGCTGGCTGCGCATGGATGCCGTGGCCGTGGGCACTGCGGCGTGCTGGGCGCAGGGCTGGTTCGTCTCGGTCGGGGACCTGGCCAGCAGCGTCTTCATCACCGCCATCGCCGCCCACACCTACCTCGGCGTAGCGCGCGGCTACCACTTGCCATCCCGCGTCTTCTACGCGGGCATCGCAGCGCTTTGGGGCTTCGTGTACGGTATGGCGGTCTTGGGCGTTCTTATCACGGAGAATGGGAGGAGGGTTGGGGGGTTATACGTCAGAGCTGGCGCTTGGGTATGTGTTCGGTCTTTTCGTTCTCTTTGGCGATGGAATGTCTCCATGGCCCCTCTGAGCCTCGCATCACGGGTTCCGCAGTCAGTGGATAAAGGCAATAGAAGAACAAAGGAGAGATCAAGCTGACGGGGGAACAGTGTTGGATCAACGCCTCATACCAGGACCTACGCCTGGCGTTGCATTATCTATGGATATTCATCTCCCTCGGCGTGACCTCCGTCATCTACTTTTCCATCTACTTGACCCTTCATCTCCAGAAGCGAAACCCAGTATCTGGGGCTTCTAGCCCGAGCCTGCGCTACCCAAATACCCAGAGTACGAGTCTGGACCTGCGGTATCGCCATCCCTTTTCTGTGCCCTTGAGCCCAAACCCATCTGTCTCTTCCGTGTCCACACTACCGTCCAAGGACGGCGAAGCGCCGCCCAACGCAGGGCATCCGAGGTCGTCACATGAACCGCCCCGAAAAGCAGTTCGACCACCACCTTCCACCTCTTCTCACCCTGCCTTCCTCCTCTATCCGCTAATATACGTAATTTGCACCGCTCCGCTTGCTGCGGGGCGTATATACAGCATGGCGGGTCACGATGTATCTCTTGCATACTTCTGCTTCGCCGGCAGCATGATCGCGTGCAACGGGTGGCTCGATGCCGTACTCTACTCAACAACACGACGATCGCTCGTGTTTAGCAGCGCATGTCGGCCGCCACCCGAGGGCGATGTGGGCATCGAGACGTTCGCTTTCATGCGAACCCCATCAGCGCGGAGATACGGCAATTTTGTCTTTGTTGCTGGGGGAGACGACGCGAACGGGAGGGGGGATGGCGAAAGTGTGGACAAGGAAAGATGGTGGAAATGGGGTGGCAAAGACGTGGTGTCTAGGTGTGAAGGCTTTGAGGACGAGAGGAGAAAGGGTGAGAAGGATGCGAATAAGAGTCAGATCAGCTTGAAAGGGTTCGGCATGGGCAATGGGGAGGTGATGGGAATGGCTATCCAGTGCGAGACCGTCACAAAGGTTGTGGTGGAAGAGAATGGGGACTTGGAGTACTAGCCATAAGAGAGCAGCACGCGGCGACAACAACCCCATGCAATTGTACGGTTATCACTTGCCAAGAGGTCCCAGGGTTTATGAGAATGTTATAACCGCTAAACGATTGTGTCAAGCTCACCGTACGAAAAGAATCGTACAATCTCGTCCCTCGGTAAAGATTCTCTGTTATGAATATGCAACATACTCAGGATTGTTTAAAAGGAAACCAGAAGATGATCTGCTCTGAGGCTGGAAAACAATTCATTAATCGTCCATTGATCGGCGCCATGTGTCCTCAGGGGCCCAGTCCTTCTTAAACATCTGGGAAACGAAATGTAGATCTCGTTCCCAGATGAGTGGGTACTTGTGATCAATGATCAGGCCATCCCACCCATACCTTTCGGCATCGGTCTCAGGGACGCCTGGTTCATCAAGTCAGCACGGAGAGCTCCAGGATTGGCTCGAATGATACTTACTTTCCAAGGCTGAGATTTCGGCTAGCTCCCTCATGAGCCTCTCTTGGTCGGGCCTGATATCACTATAAATACGCTCCCTTGTCTTCTTCCCCGGTTCCGCCTTCCGTATCTTTTCCCAGGGGACAGTCAACGGGCTAAGACAGCGGTTGTAGTAGTGCCAACACAAGAGAACAATATTGGCACCTTCCTGTATGTCTTCCATGTCACGCTCCTTGTCATAGCGGCGAACGTATGATCGATGTCTAGCGTGCCAGTACCGGTCCTTCGATATGGCTGATGCCTGGTGGAGAAGGATGAATACAGCCAGGTAAATCGTGAAGAACCATTGGGGGTCGGTACTCGAGATCAGCTTCCAAAGGTCTGTAAGGACACGACCTCTGGCTGGCTGCATGATAAGATTGACGTTGAGGGCATCAAATTGTTGACAGATCATGCGGGGGACGGAAAGTCGGTTGGGAAAAGGATACCCTTGACGTGTTTCGAAGTCCATGTCCAACCTCTCGTCGCCTACCAACCAAGCCGACCGCAACGAGTTTTCTACAGGTCTACGATTAGATCACTTGGATAGGCCTAATGGAAATTGGGTTTCTTACTCGTTGCGAACCATAATGCAAGAAGATCCTGCATGAATCTTTTTGGGTCAACACCAGTCGAATTCGGTCTCATTTTGTTGTTGTTGACATGGATCATATGGTCCCAGCTACAGAACCAAGTTCAGTATCAAGTAGCGCTTGGAGAACGGGGTACGCAGGTCACTCACGCTGCCTTGTATGTTTGCCCAACAAGATCATGCAGTTGTGGGTCCCTGGCATAGTTCTCGATTGCAGCATTTGCATTGGCGGTGATATGATTGAACAGAACTCTTCGAGCATGATCAGTGTTTTCCATGGCGTATGGCGCGATCCGAGTCTCATAGGTCATGCCGTTGTATGACCAAGTTCGGTTGAGAACGTCACCTGGCTCAGGTTTGAATTTCCGTACCCTGAACTCGAATGGCTCGTCTATCAGCCCTAGAGTCAATTTTATTGTGCGCGGCTGATCGCTTGTCCAATTGTGTGGCTCGAGATCTGCGACTTGAGTACCTTCCCAGCCACGTCTCTTCGTAAACTCAAGACCGCCGGACCGGTATAGGACGGTTGATGAGAGTTTCCATCTTTTGCAGACAAGTCTATGGATGGTTTTCTTCGAGCCCAGATCTACCGCCAAGCAAGTCAAACATCTGTCATCATTGGGATCTGGGTTTGCTTTACACTGCCCGGCAATTAGCTTATATTACCAAGTTCGGAAACCACCCACCTTGACCTTCTGGTATTGGCAACGGATGCAGGCGACCTTCTGACGAGTGTTGCTAGCGTGTTCGCGCTGCTCCGGGTTCAGTGGAGCGATTCGCCCTCCCCGGTTGCCTCCCCGGTTGCCTTTCTGGTTGAGGGGCCCTCCGTTTTTCACAGATCGCGGGCCTGTACAGGGCATACTCATCGGGTTGACGCTATCGCGGAGTTCTAGAATGTCATCACGATAAGATGGAACCCAGTTCCAGTGTTCGTCTCCCAAGGATTCTGCATTGGCTGAGGTCGCTTCTGGACTAATAGACTCACTGGATGAATCTTCCGAGCTGGGTTGACTCTCGCCTTCACCTGAGTAATCAAGATTCACATCTGTCCACTCTGCTTCGTCCACATTGCGGTTCATATTAGACATCGCGGTTGATAGTTGTTGAACGGGGACGAAATTGAATGTTCCAGGGAAGGATGTGAAGCCGTCGCCAGTCGACGCAAGGGTATGGTCATGACCGCAATCTGGGAATGCGGTTTGTTGATGTTCAAAGTGTTGTTGGTAAGAGAGTTGGTAAGAAGTGTCGGGCAAGGGAGGCGCATCTAACTGGTAATTCTGGCCGAGATCCTCGATGATGGGGATGTCTTGACCGGCGTAGGAGGGATAGGCAGGTTGCGTGTACATAGTGAAGGCTGGATTAAGGGGAGGTGAGGTCCACTGGAAGTTATGGTGAGCCAGGTCAGATGGACTAGTGTCAAGTTCCGAAGGCAGAGGTGGAGAGGAGGTGGCCGAATACTCGAGCCCCGACCCCATATTTGGAAAAGCCAGACCACCAGGAAAGTTCGGCTGACACAGCACACTGGTTGGTTCACAGCGATTCTGATGCCCAACAATAATCCCGGTCTCATCACGCGGTGCAGCGGCTGCTGGCGAAACGGCGGTGGAAAAGGCCGCAGCAGCAAACGATGTGCTGACTACATTGGGTTTCCAAATTGAGGTCCTTCTAGATACTGCTGGAGAGGTCCGGTGCCTTTGCAATGGTGCTTGGGTGGTATCTCGCCCTTTACTTCGCTTGGCTAGATGACCGTGGTACTCGGGCGCGCGTCTTGCTTGAGACGGAGACGACGCACCATGAGACCTCTTTCTTGACTTCGGGAGCAGGTTCGTCAATACCCCATGCTCGGAGTGGCCACCAGAAAAGGAGGGGGGCGGCGAGGAATGGCAACCTTACCGTAAAATCGACAGCGGGTGGCATATTTTGCACCAAGAAGACGAGGGGATCGTCCATACTAGCACGCCGCCCTTGATTGACCAGGGAACAGCGCGTTGCAGGTCTCTCCACCGAGACCCCGTCGATTGCCAGTACCACAGTAGCCCCGGGAGCGACTGTCAGCGAGTAAGAACGGATCCTTGGTGGAGTGGAAGGAAACCGGTGAAGTGATACGGAGAGCCTAGAGGTATCGACGTGGGTGGTACGGCTACAAAATTGCTACGACGCTGGCGCGGCCAAGTTACAATAGACTTGAGAGGATGGATGTATTCGGATGACTGTTCTAGGAATCCTGGACAGCAGGAAGACGGTCGCGCGTGCTGTAATGCAGGTCTTGAACCACAAGGTTTTGTTTTGCGTTCATGTATGTCGGCCGCCGGTCTTTGAGTTGTAAGATGTTGGTCCTCTGGAGACCAGGCTGTGCGTCTTGCCTACCCCCGGGTTCATGCCGCGGGGGTCGAAGGGGTCCTCGAATGTCGTGCTGGACCCCTGCTCCCTGAGGGGAAACCCTCATTCGATTTCATACTGTACGGCCAGGCGAGCCCAGCCTCGAGCCAGCACGAGCGGGCAGTCAGCCAGCCACCAACTACAAGTACGAAACGTACTGGGGCCAAAGAAAAACATCAAAAAGCAAGCTGCCGATGGTGGTGACAACGCACCTTCAATCTTGACCCGGGCTGGGGTATGGAAAAAGCACAGATGGGAACAGATCTTGCCCCCCACATTCCCTCGCGTCTTGGCCCGTGGGCAACACCAGCTCGTCGGGACAAATTGGTAGCATTCCACGCAGACGGATGAGAAAACCGGACACGGCAAGATGGACCAACCACCACACCACATACTGCGGCCGTCATTCCGCAGTGTCCGGTTTCGGTTTTCCAGATACGTCTGCGTGGCAACCTCCACAAGGGAGGCTGCAGCTGCACGAGCAGGGCAATAATAAGCAGCCGCAGCGTCTGGGATGGGAAATGGGACACTGTCCAGAAAAGCGGGGGCAATATAAAAGTCCTAACATAATCAGATCCACACGCAGCTAACTTAGGTTCCCCATCGGTGGGTCTCGACATCCCGCTTGACAATATTATATCCGACGTCACTCATCCGAGGATTGTATAGGATGCCTTTCCTTCCGCGCCATTCACTCTCGTGGGTGGTCGTGCCAGGGCCTCGTCATCCATTTTGCTGCACCAGCTCGGCTGCATTCTGCAGTGTGGAAGACCGTAGCATCTGCAAACCAGGTATCTCAAATCGCACCAACTACATGTAACGGGTCGACCCGCCAGGGGCCCAGCCATGCATGCCTTGCTACATAAGGCCGCTACACCGGTTAAGCAAAGCATCGTCTAGGCAAAACCGATTTCCCGGAAGCTGGATCCAGCCCAGAAGCGCCAAGTTAGCTCCCGCCATCAGCATGTACCAATCGCGACCCTCTCAAGTCTCGGAGGTTTTCTTTCTAGATAGCCTTCCCTAAGTGGCTCCTGCAGCTTCAGGTACCCCCAAAGCCGCCACGTCAATCTCTTGATCTTCATCGTGGGATCGTCCTGATATGCATGTCGATATGCACGGTGAAATAGCAATCCTCAAACGGATCGAGTGTTTTCCTGTGACAAGATACGGCTGGGAGCCACCTACCCGCATTACTTCATATTCCTGATGCCTCCGGATTGGGACGTCGCTTCGCGAAAGGCCAGCTCGTTGTCAGGCGATTCTGTCGGCCTCGCTGGAAACAAATAAAGCCTGGTATTTTTGATATTGCGCCTGTGTGTTACAGCATATTTACGCGGCTGGGGACGATGGATGCTGTGTATACAATAGGGTTTGGCTCCTTGCATGTTAGGAAGTACGGCGGTAATCTGCTGATTTTATCTTCTCATACGTATAGATTTGCAGTTCACTCGGATGCGTTCTTGGGCTATGTGAAACCCCCATGAGCCCAACGGTTGGCTCTACTCGTGTGACCAGGCTGGGAATCAATCTCCTCCGTGTATTGTCTGCTTGGCTCATGCAAGCATTGTTTCTGCACCACTCCCCAAGGAAACCAGGTTATCTCGGAGCAGGGCTCTTGTGGTATGTAGTATCCATTCTCTGTCCAATGACCTGGACAATGGCTAGTGTCTTCCAGTCGTCACTTGTCCCGCATCTGTCTGGTTATAGCACTATCATGGACAAATATCGCTTGAACGTTGTAATAGACGGTTGGGATTTTCAACCGGTGAGCAGATAAATCTTTTTTAAATAGTCGCTTGCAGCGATCTCTTTCATCAATCTCATCTCCAGATCTTTCTTGTCTGTTCCCGCACTCATCAAAAATGACAGCTCACCTCAAACCCCTTGCTTTACAAAGCCTATGTGGCTACTCTTATAGCACTGATTCTATCAACGCTGCCCTTCCACTCGAGGAAGTTTCTCGAGACAATGAAAGCATTCAGCTACCCCCAGGATTTCCCGACTTTATTCAAGAGATATCCCTTCAGAGCAACACCATCACTCCGCATGTTGTAGAGTTAGGCGAAGATGACATTGACGAGATTGAGACTTCCTTGCATGCTTTCAAAGGTATTGTACAGTCCTAGCATTACGTACCCTTATGGCAAGTCACTAATTATAGCAGGTCTTGAAATGAACGGCGATGATGTCAATCGTGAGAGGTTCCCGCTACCGGGTCTTGAGAAAAGGCTCGACCAATGTGCTCTAGAAACGCACTTTGGACCAGGTCTCTGTGTTATCAAGGGGCTGGATCCGAGGAACTACTCTATTGAAGACAATATGATCATTTTCCTCGGCATCTCAAGCTACCTCGGAGGTATGAGAGGAATACAAGGTATTAACCGGTCGATGGGAACAATGATCAGTAAGTCATGTATCTCCTCACTGGGTCTCGGTCTCTAACTGTGTCTAGCACATGTCACGGATTTCAAGGCCTGGACAGTTCCCAAGGACAGACGACACGGTATACACACGAACCACTATCTGGTAAGTCTCCCTATATCCCTGAAGTTCTTTTATTCACTCGAGTTAATATTAACGTAGCCGTTTCACAATGATATGGTAAGCATCCATTGGCTTCTCTGGCGGTGATTCATACTGGCTGGTTTTGGCTGACTCGTCTAGGGATGCGATATACTTGCCATCCAAGTCCGCGAGTGTGCCCAAACTGGAGGCCGAACGTGTGTGGTTCCATTCAGCGCCGTCTATAACGAGCTGGCTGTGTCGAACCCACAGGTGCTTCAAGTTTTGGCCAGATCAGATTGGCCAGTGAGGACGTAAGCACTACAAGCATGCGCTTCTCAGATCGTTAGACTGATACACCCGTTCTTCAGTAGCCCAAAGCGTTACATCCTATCCCCACTCCTCGAATATCACGAAGGCAATCTCATGGTCTCTATGGACCCAGCGCGCATTGGTCCCCACGCGTCTTCAAAGGGCTTCATTCCCCCGCTGACACTGGAGCAGGAGATGGCCTTGGCAGTGGTGCAGGAGGTGGCCAATAAGCACCAGCTGAGGCTGGACCAACAGGCTGGCGATCTGGTATATCTGAACAATTGGGGCTTGCTGCATGCTAGAGAAGCTTACCAGGATGGGGAGTCGTCGTCACGTCATTTGATCAGACTCTGGCTGCGCAATGAGGCATTAGGGTGGTCGATCCCTGCTTCCATGCAGGATCCGTGGGACTGTTCCTTTGGGCACAAAGCCAAGAAGGTCGTCAACCACGACTACCCTATCATACCAATGCCGAAGTACGTAGAGTCCAAGTACAGCAGCGGCACCGCCGCATTTGTTAGAGAAGACGACGACGAAGATGACGATGCGAACGACACTCAGACTGGGACTAGCGGTCAGGAGGAAAAGAAGTTATGACCAGGTCACAGGGTACAACGTTTCCCTAGATAGTTTGTTCGTCCTTCAATTACGAAACGCAAGTTGAAAAAGCAATGATGACTGAAAACTCTAACTCTGCTCATGTTTGGGCAATCTGCCCCTGTGCGCCACAAAACGTGGCATATCTCACCTGCCTGTCGTTCACCCCAGCTAGCCAAACTGTTGTACTCAGTCGCGTACTGGATATTGTTGGCGTCGACATTGAGTCTCGGCACGGCGTGTGGGTGGGTGGAAATGCTGCCAACAAAAAAGAACTGGAAAGCAGGAAAAAGTACCCCCATGTAATTACTATACATTCATGGGAATGACCCCGAGCCAAGGCACAGTTCCATGGGTGCAGATCAATTGAACGACCCCACACATGGATGTTCCCTGTGTTGGCTTTTTGACAACTAGAGCTCACAGGCCTCAATTGGCTGCTGTTATAGGCTTCGCGTTATCTGGTGCGCTAGCGCACGTCACTATGCCTCCTGCATGCTCTACTAATCCAGGTCTATTAGGACGCCTGACGATTGCCTGCATTGCCTGCAGGTCGTAGAGCGTTTATCAGATGGGGTAAATACGGCATTTCGCCGCCCAGAAGTCGGGCCTGCATCCGTATCAAATCACATAAGAAATCCTTCTCGATGCATGGTGGAAATGGAAAAGCAATGATATGCCTGCCCGCCCGCGGAGACGCAGCTGATGATGTCGGTCGCAGAAGCAACAACCGCCCCTCCTAGTTTCTAGAACTAGATTTGCCGTGCTGCTGATATTTTCTTCGTCCTTCTTGCAGGATCAGCTGGGCATGTTTCCTTTGCCGTAAAAATCCGCCGGCATCCCCTATCGTCAGAATGCGACGTGGGATGTCAACAGAGTTCACCAAATGAGACCATCCCCCGGGAAGCTCCTCTGCGCAGTCAACCAACCTGATGCACCCGCCGGAACCAGCGCCAGACCGGTGACAGGGGGGGACGTATACGGCCACAGCGGTGAACTGATCCAGCCTCGAGGTTTATTCCTCTCTGGGCTTCGTCACCTTTTCGTATTAGTGAGGTACCGACTCTACCACGAGATGCAGCTATCGCCCCCATCCGGTTTTACGTGCCGCAGAACCCGTCTGAGAAGCACGTATCAATAACGTCAATTCCTTCTCAATCATAGAAGCGCCTGATCCGTCGCCTTGTCCGCCTCACCCAAAAAGGGTAAGGACGGTGGTATGCATGCGACAAATGAATAGGGATTAGGACATGGCCGCTTGTACACGGTTCGTCTTTTGGAACTTTGCGTCTGGAAATGAGTGTTCGCTGCACCTTCACGAGAACACACCGGAGGGTTGATTCACGACACATTGTTTCTTCCAGAATTATAATATTCGAGGATATAATTGGGAGGTTCAGCCTCACTCCACCCAAGACTCACAGAGGGATACTTGCAAAGACTAGCGGTCGTATGATAATAGTGGGCACGTCAAGCGCAGCTATATTTTGCACATGTTGGCGTCATTCGACAAGTGCAGCTCCTGATACCCCAGGTCTTGGCTGCTTGATTCCGGAGTGCACCGGTAAGTCAATTATGTCTCATTGTCGCTAACCCAACTTCTCTTATGACACTGGAAGGAGTTCATTTGGTACCGAGAGCTCAATCTGTCTGACCCGGCGGTCCCGCTCTGGCTCTCGTTCGATCGCCTTCGCCCGAGTCGCATACCCTACATGCCGGGATTTTCGTGTCACCTGCGCTCTATGTCAGTATCAACTATACAACCAATACCTATGGTGCAAGAGCTTCAAGTGAACGCGGCTTGGCTTATTTTCGTTCGCATTCATAGGTGGATACAAATGCTAGAATATCCACACCGATGAAGCAGATCGTGATGTCTGCAACACCATTACGTTATCCTCGCCACAACCCCTCATGCCGTGCTATCGATGTTGGGAAGAGCGCGGATGAGAACACTTTCAGATGGTGCTGGCGAAGAATGATAGCTACCTTTGACGGATCAGTGAATGTATCAAACCTGACGAAAGTTCGACGCTAATGTTGTGTTTGTCGCTCTCCTCCTGTTTTCTGAAGTTTCGTATTGCCGTTTGGCCTTCTCTCGTTGTGTGGCTAAATACCTATTTAAAGCTTGAAAAATCTGATGAATATAATGGCTAAAGAATAAAATCGATGCGAGCTGATGTACGCCATGTTCAAATATCCCCGGGGTATACGACGATCAGCAGCGGTGGCGAGAGTTTGTAGGCAATGCATTGAGTTGTCTGTATTACTGGCAATGGCGAGATAAGTAACAAAACAAATGAGATAAGTATTGCTGTGGTCCTGGTTCTCAGGGATATTGTTGTACAAAAGATGGCTCCAGCAAGAGCACAACATTCTGCAATCCAATGCCGACCTCCATATACATGTGCTTGGAAAGATACCCTTATAATTCCACTACTAGACTGAGTATTTACCCGGTAATTTCCGACTTAGTTTGAGTAATAAGATCCGTCCTAACCGGTTTGTATTTCTTCACTCTGAAGTATCGTAAAAGGGGCAAAGATTATTGCGACATGTATCAGAAAATTCAACCCAGCCACACCTTGAAAGTTCAGATATCGCCTAAGTAGGCGCTTGTGAATTCCAAGTAGGGGCAGACAAGGAGGCTGAAAACAACGTGACAGACGAAAAGAAAAACTATCAAGAAGAATTTAGGGGAGAAGTTGCGATCAAATTTCTTTGTGATAGAAATTTAGCAAGGCGTTGACGACATTGCATCACGGATTTAGTGGTAAATTGAGTTTTGAGCAAGGTACATGTACGGCTGACATTTTTAATTTTCACAAATTTGCCTCTGTTGTTAACTATGGCAACAGAAGATCAAAACAGAGCGTGAAATCCCGTTCACATTATATCTGTGCGGTTACCCCAAGTTGAACCCGAGGGCAACCGCGTCAGGAGGTCTCTGGCTGATACATGTGCAGACGATCACTCGCCAGGTGTTTCTTTTGTTTTCCTTCCCTGGTGCCAAGTGCAAATGTACACCTGGTGTGCATGAGGATCACATGTCCTACTGGCAAACTCAGTTAGCAAATACGAACTGAAAGCCACAACCCCAGGCTTGTCATATATGGCACAGGAGACGAAACAAATCAAGTTTAATAGCAGTAATGGTTTCCTCTATAGTGTTATTATTCAGTTACAAAGCTTATAATCCTATACAACAGCCTCCTTACTGCAGTTAAAGTCCAATCAACCCACATTCCCATGATGGAATTCACTCGTGGGAAGGCTTGTTTTACATCCAACCCATGAGTGGGGGAGCAAAGAAATCATGACGAGTACTCGATGCTATGCAACATGTTCAGAACTCAACTCCCTTAACCAATACTAAGCGCCTGATATTGAAAGCAGATTACAACATGACCATGGCGGCACCAACACCGGTGGCAATCAGCATGTAGACACCGACAGCGAAGTCACCGATGGTCATGAAGCGCTCCATGCGGACAACGGAAGCAGGGTTGCCGCTCGAGGTGGCGGATGCGCTGCCGCCAGTAGCAGTGGCAGCGAACTCGGCAGATGCGCTGGCAGCCTCCATCAAGGTGTCACAGGTACTGTCCGTGGAAGGGCTCGAGTTGATCTTGGCAGCACCCTTGAAGTCGCAAGCGGTGGATGCACTGTTCTGGTTCTTGTAATAGGCGTCCAAGACGGCACCGAGCTGTTGGGTGGCATTGCAACCAAGGTAAGGACCGTAGATACCAGAGGGGACGTCGCTCTTGATCGAAGCGCAGGCATCAGCGTCGTTAGCGCAGACATAGTCGAAGATGTCACCGTAGTCCTCAACATCGAGGCTCTTCGAGGGCTGGCAAGTCAGGGACTTGTACATGCACTCGCAAAGATCACGGTTGGGAGTAGGGGGCAGGTTCTCGGCGGCCTTCCACGCGTCATTGACCTCGGGGCAGGACTGCGCAGAGTTGGTAGGCTGGTAGGCGTCCATAGCAGTTGATGAGGGAGCGACGGATTCGATCTTGCTGGAAAGAACCTCGTAGTTCTTCATGGTGGTGACCTCATCGCCATCAAGCTCAACCAGACCGTAGTCATTGGCCTCCTGGAAGTACATGTACACAATACCGCCAGAGAAAACACCGGTCATCTCGTCAGAGTAAAGAGCGGTGGTGTCATCCCAGAGACGGCCATCGGCACCGTCAACAGTGTTGCAACCGTACTCAGCAAAGAATACAGGGACAGAGTAGTTCTTGAAAAAGTCGACCTGGGTGTCGAAGCCAGACTCGGTGAAACTGCTCTTGCCGCACCACGAGTAGATGTTGTAACCAAAGTAATCGATGGACTCGCTGGAGTTACCGCAGTTGAAGTAGTCGGCAAGGTTGTGACGGATGGCGGCGTCGTCGTTGGCAGCGTAACCAACACCCATCCAGCGACCACCCTTGGACGCAATGTGGTTCTTGCTGTCACGGACAGCGGCCTTGACAAATGCCGAAGCCTGGGTGTTAGAGGCGTTGTTAGAAACCTCGTTACCGGCGAAGAAACCCAGGGTGTTGTCGAACTCGCCCAGGTTGTCGATGACACCCTTGTAGCGGTCGAACAAGTCAACGTTCCAGGCGGGGCTGTCTCGGTTGATGGAGAGAGCTGGCTCGCTCAGATCCGAGATGACGTAGATGCCGTGGTCTGAAAGTAGCTTCATGCATGCTGTGTGGTCGGCCTTGGGGTCAATGGCGTAGGTTCGGATGACATTAGTACCCAAGGCAGCAAGGAGCGGGACGTCGCGAGCGCACTTCTTCTCGTCCGAGAGAGGGTCGATGTACTTGTTCGTCTGTTCGCTGGTGGATCCGGCGGCTGAGGTGTCTTGCTGGTAAGCGACACCCTTCATGAAAAATTGCGTGCCGTTCTCGTAGAAGAACTTGGTGCCCTTCATGATGATGGGATCAAGCGCGGCAGCATTGCCGGCAAGAAGCATCAAAGATGCCAATGCCGTCTTAAGGAGACCCATTGTGATTGTTATACTGATCTCCGGGATTCTGGGCTATAGAGGTGTGTTTCGAGGTTGGCCGGTATATAACCAATGTTCGATGGATGGACAATATCTATTGGAATTCTTGGTGTTTTGATGTTTGGAATGACGTGTGTGGACCGAGTCAAGCCGAATTTCCTTCTTTCAATAACAAAATAAGGAGCGTTGAATGAGTTCTGGCAAATGAGTGCACGAATTAACAAAGGGTTTTCCAAATGAGAGTATGAAAGTGGTAAAGAATCCCTCTCCTACAATTGCAATGTAATTACAAGAGGTCAACGAGGAAAAATGACGATGAATGATCAAGGTGAAGAACAAGCCGGTCTCGACTGGCGAGGGCGACTGGGACAAAAGAACTTGTTTCAATGCTTCCCCTGGCCTGCCACCCCAAGTACGTACTCAGGTCCATGCAGGCCTTGGCAGAATAGGGGATGCAAGGGGCCCCATCTCGAGATGCAGAAATTGGGACTAGCGCCCACATTCTTCATGTGACTGGACGCAACTCAACTGCAAATGAATGTCGAAAAGTGGTGACGGCGCCCGCTCGACAGACTTGACGACCCGTTTTGGGCTGAATTCCCTAGCCTCATTGGCTGCCATCCCAACCCTTGGCCTCCACGGTGATCTGCTAGTGCGCCGTTTGGTGTCTGTCGCGCCGGGGCGCAGCCACGGTAGATGCAACACTAACAGTGGTACCTCCGAGATGAAGCTCGGGACCAACCAAGCCGCAGGCGAAATGCCTTGAACAAACATTGGGATGGGATTCTCCACGTTCATCTCGTCTGTTAGATGCGATCCACAGGCCGACAGACACACACACCCAGAATCCAGAAGGCCCCCCTCAAACCAGCTGGAAGCCCTGCCAGACAGCTAGACCATCCACTCTGGAAACGATGTCTATTCAATGGGCGGCTGTGGTCCTTCGGCCAAGACCATAGGCTGCGTAAGCTCTGTGCTCTATCGAAGACGGCTCCAGCTGGGCATTGTGTGTTGTCGCAATCCTGAGGTCGTCGACTGACGACTTGGCCACGAGCCACGGGCGACCACCGGATACCAAGATATTGCTGTCGTATGTACTTGCCGGCTATTCCATTTGGCCGTGCTTGGGGGTTCTTGGAGACCTGCTGGGCAAAACCCTCGAACAGCTCGGCATGGCGGTTCGACCATTGATAGCGATCTTCCAAGGATTGGCTCAATGCCTACTAACTTGGCATGATCAACAGATTCGTGTCGCCCAGAGGGATTTGACGCTCTAATCTCAGCGCTTCATTTCAGAACCTCTCGCAGCTTTCGACCGCATCGAGGCCTGTCTGCATTGGTGTCTCTACTAAAAGTCTTGATCCACCGTTAATTCTCGTGTCTGCTCCCCCACTAAAATGCCACCTCGAAGCCTCCAATCTGCGAGCCAACCCAGCTTGCCAGTCTGCCAGTCTTCCATTCTCCCCGAAGCAGTCCCGCAATCTTCGCCCCAGGGGCAACTGCGCGGCCCCCCCCCCCCCCCAGTTTTCCAACCCGTATCTGCATGCGACGAGAGACGAGCCAGCGCACGAAATCTCCAGATCCCCCAGCCTTGCATTGGCCTCCAGACCAGTTGGTAGATCACGATGTGAACACAGCCTCGCTTGCCTCATTCTTCCAACCCGCGTTACTGATTTCCTCTAACAACGGGCCCCCTTATTTCCCTTGCCCGCTACCTCGAACCGCTGTGTATCAGATTTATGGAGCTGGGGCCGACGATCCTCCGTGTGCACTAGCCGCAACGTCATCGGTATGGGTGGAGATGTTCTTAAAAACCGAAAGCCTTCTAAGCTTACACCTTATCGTCATTTAAACAATAGGTAGTAAGCTTAAAGACAGTTTGTCGTAGTCGGCGCAACTTCCATCACGCCTTTCTTCTAACTTTGTAATACACGGAGCCAATTCCGAGAAGCAACGCGTCCCATAGTTCATATACCTCCCGCCACAGTTCGGACACGGGGCCGCGCGCCATTTCTTCAGCGTTGACAGGGGGAGGTAAAAAAGAGAACAGTCGCAATAGTAGCAATTTCGAAGTGCACTTATTTTGCGACCAAGGCTTGCCGTTGTCGCAATTGCATAATCACAAATATAAAAACAAACGGTGCCGACTCTTTATGAAAGCGCCGGTGATCTTTTATCTGAAAAGCCCGAACTGTGGCGACCAGCCTAATCCTTTCATTCCGTCATCCCATCGACATGCTCACCCGTCTGGGGCGTCGCCAAGCCCGTCGTTTCTGCAATTGCATGGCACAGCGGGCCATTGAGGCTCTCATGACCCCCTCTTCAATGGGCTACACTGCAGGATCCCCATGCGACAACCGGCGAGCAAATGCAAGGCTGCGCGGCCGCCTTGGGCGGCACTGGGCTTGTGTGACACCATGTGGGCCGGCGAAAGGCGCCGATCGGTGGGCAATGAGATCACGGGGGGCGGTCGCGATCATCAAGAGAAGTCACAAGCCGCGCAGATATGTCAAGCAGGAGATTTCTATGTTCTCAAGCGATAATCAACTTGTTTGTTTGCTGTTACAAGTTTCCTTTACAAAAGTTCAAAGGGGCTTAGACTTCATTCATTTCATCAGAGCCGCGTGTTTTGATATCCCATTCGGCCCGCCCTGCGCCTCGACTTCAAAACCCGTTGCCGAAGCCGTAGGGCTTGAACCACCACCTGCAGGCTCACTTCGGGCTTACATGAACGCCTCAAGTTTCTTCCCTCCCCCCAGGATGACCCAAAGCTGCGGCACCCGGTTGTTTGGACCGATCTGATTTTGACACTTTTTAGCTCGCATTAGCTCTACGACACGTGGAAGCCTTAGATACTTCTAGCGAGAAACCCTGCTCTGATACCGCTGAACCACACTTTGCAAGCTAACTTAAGGTACTCATCGGATGCTGCCATATATCGCGCAGCTTCACCATAACGATTCTTGTACACAATTAAGTGTTTTATGGTTTCGAAACACTCCGTAATGACGACACGGTAGCTAGGCAAGTCTGTGGGGACTTCTCATAACACGGCGCTGCACATGCTCTGTTTTGCCCACTTCGTGGGCAGTCATGCGCGGATGTGGCGGCTAAACGGCCCCATGCTACTCGGAAGTCTCGGTATACAGGCTGGAGTTGCTGACGGCTGTGATTGATGTCGAGGTAGGATGGGGCTTTTGTCACGATGCATCAGCCAAGAGCCGATACTGCCATCACAGGGCTTCAAGAAAGCCTCCAGAACAGGTACTGTACCGTGCGCATCCCATCAGCTTAACTGACAATATTTCTACGCAAAATATTGATTGCCTGCGTTTCCATACCCCGAAACTACGTTTCAAAGCAGACGGCGACGTCTCATAACTCAAATCTCAAGCTCCTATTATTGAGGAGGGAGAGATCCATACACGGATCGTAATATTGGTATCATTTAGCCTGTTGTTTCCTTCCTCTTTAGCAACCAACTGCACAACTTTGGTGTTTCCACCCTCAGTCCTTCGACTAAGCCGACCGGGAACCAAGGCACTCTACTCTTGAAAGACCTCCGCAGCACGTAGGGCCTCCACTTACGACCCGCGTGGAAACGTTCAACCTGTCTAACAGGAGTCTGATCAGTCTTACTGCGGTCTCTTATTAAGTATCTCCTGTCTTGTACTTCTAAGTTGTTGGAGCCGTGACCTGTTCGCGTCTGTCCTGTCTCGTCTAATTTGGAGGAAAACATCAGGTCTTGAATGGTTAAAATACCCAATATGTGGTCGCGCAATAGAAACTGGTGGTTCAGCGACTGCTATGCTTGGCTGTTTCGTCGGATGTATCGGCAAACAGATACAGTAATCGACTGCCATTGAAAGACCGAGCACGCATTCCATGTACGGGTTCGCAATTCACGCCGCGCGGCTTAGATTGAGGCCACGGTCTCAGAATTGCCTGCCTTGTGGATAGCATCGAGTTACATTCTGGTTTATATGCAGGTCTCAGCCCGATACCTTACGTTGACGTTGGGCGACTGTCCAGGGGCTTTCATAGGACCTCTGCTAGCCCAACGATGTGCCTTTCCGTCTCTTTTCCCCTCTTCTGATTGATTAGTTGACCTCGTGGTTGATGTCAAGAATACGATAACGGCAGGTGCTCGGTGTATCTGCATAAATCTGGGCTTGGTAGGAGACTAGCCGATCGGGTAATATTCCAGTGGAATCGAATGCCACTTTTCGTTCTTTGAATGACTTACCTTGAGCCCATCATAGGAGCACGTGAACCAGCTCAACATAACTGCTTGCGGTTGCCTGTAGCACTCAAACGCCAGCATGGTGGCTTCGAGAAATCGTCCAAAAGCGGCGAGTGGCAGCATGGCGTTCTTTGTGGTACCCTGATTTCACGGCACAGTCCAAATCAACCAAGGCCCATGCAGTATGGCGTTAGTAGAAAGCGGAAAATCAGCCGACTTGGTGTAATGGAGGCCCGCCATATGGTCTGCAACAATGTGCATTGTTTCTTTGCTGTTGTTTCTTGTCCAGGAGCGTGACTCCCGATGGTTTCTTGGGTCTGGTCGCTCTTACATCTCACAGTCAGATGTCTCAGGCTTGAATGGTGTTACACAGGATTGGGGGTAGAAACGTCTCTTTTCAGGTGTTCTTCCTCAATGGCACATGCTGTCATCGTTTGCGACAGCATGAAGGAGTTCTCGTCCTCGTCGAAAACCCTCGTCCAGCCCCTGAGTCAGAATCACACCTATCTGTTCTTCAACTAGTCACAAAGCCTATAATGCGGTCAAGTCCGATTCTTGAGCTTAGAATATCAACAGCAAGCACCCATGTTGCATATCTTTCTGCATGTTGATAAGCGCTGAGTGCATGACTTTCCCGAACACGCACAATTTCTGAATTCCTTTTCTATAATCATCTGCCTTCTCTTTCCACGAATCAGCATCAGAACTCTTCTATATATTATAGAATAATTTACACTTCCTTTCTCCTATTCGCTAG